TCCCCTCCGGTGGCCTGTGGTGATAGTCCTGGTGGTGGCTCCTCCCCTCATTGAAGCAGAGACCTTCCTGGGCCAGCCTGGGGAACGTTGCATTGCCCACCCCGGGCCTGCTCCCTGGGCGGGCGGGCAGTGTGGTGCCGGTGCCTCCCTCCAGGGCCCCGCCAGCCGGGTGTCCCTCCGGCCCCCTTGTGCACCAGTGAGTCTGCAGGGCAGTGGCCGGCCTCTGGGCAGGGTGTTCGGGCAGCTGCGGGGAGGCACAGTGGCCCTTCCTCCGGCCCTTGCGCCAGAGAAGTGGGCTGGGGCAGTGCGGGCCGTGGAGGCCCAAGGGCAGCCCTGACTCAGGGACAGTCGTGTGTGACGTTGCGTGCCTCTGCTCTCCAGAGAGTGCTCGCATGGAGTGGCCCCTGGAACAGGCTTTTCGGTGCCTGGCCTCCGACATGTCCCAGTGGACCAGTGGACATGGTCGAGCCCCCGCGTGCCACCCCTCACACACACACAGCACGAGGCAAGTCCCTCAGCCCAGGCAGAGGACGCTGGTCCTGGTCTGGCTCGGCATCTGGCCTGTTCACACAGGTGGAGGAGGGACATGCCACGCCATGTTCTGCTCTGGGTGTGCTCTCAGAGTCTGTGCAGACATCTGTGCAGACACCATGTGCTCAGGAAGCCCATCTCCCTGGCCCCACCCACAGATAAGCAGAAAGGCGCACCCATTAGGCAGAGCACCACTGGGACCTCCGGCTCCAGAAGCTTCTCGGCTACGGTAATTCCCCCGCCCGCCCACCCACCTGGTGTCCCCACTCCCCGAGACCAGCGATGTGCCCCCAGTAAGGCTGCATGTTGCCTCTGGGGGTCCCCCGTGCCCCTCTGGGCGTGCTCCCGGGACCTGAGACTCGCCAGCTCGCCTGCACGTGGGTGCCTGGGCCCGAGGGCTCTGCGGTTTGAGTCTCACAGCGACCGCCCCACTGTCCTGGCGGGCCAGCCGCAGACCCTGCCTCTCTGTCCCCGATGAACTGTGTGCTGACCTGTGTCTGAACTGTGAGTAGAACTCTGGCTTTCCTTCTAATGCAGGGAGAGGAGAGAACACTAGGCAAGTCTAATTCTATTAAAATAAAAGGAGAAAATGGAAAAAATGCTAGGGATCCCCGGCTTTCAAAGAGAGAAGAATCTATTGCAAAGATTGGGAAAAAAAAATATCAGAAAATTAACTTGGACGAAGCAGAGGGTATGTGCACTTCCTAACCTGCCCGTCTTGTCGTGGCGACCGTGTCGGTGTCCTTGTGCTAGGACGTCTTCCACTGACAGCCGGGCCCCTGCCCTCAGTCTGGGCGGCTTCACCGAAGCCCCCGCTTTCGGACTGAGAGCCGGCCCATAGGAGTCAGGGCCCACCCCCGTGGTGGCGGGTGGGCAGCACAGTGGTGCCCCAGGTGCAGTCTGTCCCCTCTGCCTGCGCCCCCAGCTGGGGTGGAGGCTCAGTTGGAGTCAGAGGGCCCTCAACAGCAGGCGGGTGCCAGGGAGGCGGCGTCCAGCAGGGGCCCTGCTCGCTTCCCTCCTCGAGGGGCCTGAGGGCTGCCCCTTCCAGGGCTGTAGGCGGGGAAGGAGGCACTGGGGACAGAGGGGGGTGGTCTCTTTTGTGGGAACGGCTTCCTCCTCCATAAGCCGCCAACGAGGAAGAGCAGAGCCAGAGGCAGTCGCGGTTGCCGGGGCCTGGGTCCGAATGGAGGGCTCTGCTGGGCGGCGGCCCCCACACTCTGCGCAGCCGCCCTTCAACCCACAGACCCGCCAGCCCACAGCAGGGGCCGCGCAGGCAGGAGGGAACCCCCCTGCGCAGAAGTCTGTGCGTGTCCAGGACACATCAGGATTTGAGATTGTCACACCGTGTCCTTGTTCAAAAGCCGAGAGTGTCACCTGAATGCCAGCGAGCTCAATTCAGGAGCCGCCTCCTGTGCGTGGTGGCCTTGAGCTGTAACTGAGAAGCCCTCCAGGCGAGCAGAGCAGCAGGGGTTCTGGAGGGACGCAGGAGGCCCAGAGGGGCCACGGGGCTCTGCTCCACTCAGGACCGTCCTGAGAGAACGGGCTGACTCCAGAGGCCCAGGTGGGGGTGCCCCTCGCTGGTTGAGGTGGGCAGAGCCCACCTGTGGCCCTGCTGTGCTGCGCCATCTGCGGTCACTCCCATCATCCTGGGGAGGACACAGAACTGTGAAGGTCCCTAGGGCCGTGCTTCCGGGCATGTCAGCCCACAGGTCACGGGTTTGAGATGACTCAGGTCTGCACTTCACACAGCCTGGTTCTTGGGGAGCTATAGAGCGGTTTCAGGTTGTTCTAGAAGCCCAGGCCTTCCCACAGTTCTGTGGGCAGAGGTGGCGGAGAGGTAGGAGCCTCCCGACCACGGTCTGCAGCTCCAGGGTGGCAGGTGGGACAGTGGGGCGAGTACTTTCCCTGCGGGGTGTTCAGTGTGCACCTGTGAAACTTGGCCCATGCGGGTTTTCTTCCAACAGCGTTTTTTGAGCTTATTTCCAAAGCTCAGAGCAACAGAGCAGACGACCAGCGTGGGCTCCTGAGGAAGGAGGACCTGGTGTTGCCCGAGTTTCTGCGTTTACCTCCGGGCGCGACAAGCCCCAGCCAGGAGACGGTGCCCCGGCCCCGAGAGCCGAGGGGGCCTGCCCAAGACCACCTCGAGAGCCCGGAGACCAGCCCCAGCTCAGCTGACAGCCCTCCCTTCTGCACCCCCACCACCCCCACACCCTACACGCAGGAAGTGGAGGCTGGGGACGTCCAGACTGTGGAGGGCGAGCACGTGGCCGACCTGACACTCACTGGGGAGGGGGACATCAGCAGCCCCAACAGCACTTTGCTGCCGCCACCCCCCGCCCAGCAGGACTCGGCCGGGCCTCCCAGACCAGGTACCTCCGGGCTCGGCACCCCCGCTCATCCCTGACTCCTTGCCGCTCTGCTGTCCTCCTGGAGTGTCCACCCGGGGTGTCCACCTCATCCCCAATGAACAAGACACAGCTGTGCTGGGTCACCCCTGCCCCGTGGTCATCTAATGAGGTGTTCCCACGGCACCGTGTGCTCTTTCAGTCACCGTGGTTATGGGGGGCTGCCCCGTGTTGTCTGTCAGGAGGGCGTGGGGCTGTGGCAGCGGCCAGAGTGTGTTGGGATGGTCACAGGGGCTCCACGCAGTCACTCCCGTGCCCTGCGAAGCAGCGGGCCCCCTTCCCTGGCCTCCCCCCCATCCTGGCCCGCAGAGCAAGGCCCTGGGGACTTCTGGAAATGTACATGTCACTCTTAAAATGTGGAGAGCTGGCATTTTCAGCATTTGTCTCAAGACTGAGAAGAAAACCCCCTGTCCTGAGAAGTAAATAAAGTACAGGCGGTGGGGCAGGACTGCCCTCTCTGACGCGGCGTCTGCGTGGGCGCCGGCCCTGCGCGCCCAGGGGGTGCGGCTCAGGTGACAGGGCGCGGGGCGTCGGAGGGCTTTCCGTGTGCGGCGTCTTGACCTCGGGCAGTCACGGCGTTTTTCTAAACTTCCGGGAGCATGAGTGTAGTGCGTTCCTGAGCTCGGCGGGGGTGCGACTGGCGGCAGGGACGCTTCCTGGGAGCCCCGTCAGAGGGCCAGCGGTCTCCTGGCCTCTCGCCAGAGGGGCTCCCAGGAGCGGCCCCGCTGCCCGCCCACGCTGGCGCTACCATGTGTGCGTCCCCGCCCCGCCCGCGCGGTGGACGAGGAGCCTGCGCAGTGTGCATTTCCACGAGCCCCGGCAGCTGCCCTTTCCCACACGCTTGGTGACCCGTGGACACTTGGGGTTACGACCCATTCACTGTCAGGGTGGTGGGGACACACTTGCTCAGGCCCATCTGGGTCCTGCCCCCGGGCCCGTGGCCACACCTGCAGGGGGAGGCAGGCGCCGTCGCTGCGTCCCGCAGGTGCGCTCATGCGGCGCGGAGGCCGTTCGTGGTGTGGGGCCAGCTGGTACCTCCCCTTGCTCCCTTGGAGACAGCGCCACCACCCGCCGGCAGGCGCGGGCGTTTGCATGCGCGCTGCCCTCACACACAGCCGCGCGGACTTCACTGCTCTTCCCTGTGTCCGAGTCTGTGCCCTCCCCGGGGAATAAACGCTGGAGCTCACCACTGGACTGGGTCGGAGCTTTCTTTCACCTGCACGTTTTTGTCCACTTGGGCAAACTATGCGTGTGTTTTACTCCAGGGAAAACACTACACAATTTTAGGGACTTGGTGGGTCTGCCTTGATATAGTGACCTTTTAATGCGGGCCATTCACTCAGCAGACGGCCTCAAGCTCCCTGCCTGTGTCCGCAGACTCCTGTGTGCTGGCCCCCTGCGGGCAGAGGGGCGTGGGGTGGGGCCCGGTGCTCAGACGGGCCTCACCTGTCTGTTGTCGCCTGGGCAGGTGGGCGGCCGGGCCGAGTTCTTCGCCTCGTTGCCGTGGGCCCGGGGCTGAGGCTCTCGGGCTGCCCTGTGGCTGGTGGCTGCCTCTCAGCTCCCACCTGCCTCTGCTGCTCCAAAGTCTCACTCCGGCTGCCAGGTCCGTCGGTGCCGCCGCTCCGGGCTCCGACTTCCCACCTAACGACCTTCCACGTGGGCCCTGTGCCCTGGCCAGGCGCCCTCTCTTCCCTGGCTCACCCCCGGGGACTTCAGTGTCTGCTGTGTCCTTGTTGTCCCTGATGTGGCGAAGGTGGCAGGCGGGTGGTGCCAGCCCTGGAGCACAGGTGTTCCCAGCGCCCGGCAGGCTCCTCCCAGCCACCGTTGGCTGAAGCCCCAGGACACTGTGGGCAGAGGGGACCCGGAGCCGTCAGCTCTCGGCCGTCCTGAGCAGGAGCTGCTGCCAGGGGGAGCATCGGTCCGCAGGAGCGGCAGCGTGGAGGCCCCCAAGTGGAGCTTCACGCCAGGTGCGGTGCGTCGGGGCGCCGCGCCTCCTCGTCTGCACGGATGCATTGGCTGCAGCCGAGCTGTGAGAATAGGACCCGCACCCGGAAGACCTGGGCAGGGAGCCCTGGGCCGGACCAAACTGTGCTGCTCGGGGGCAGGAGGAAGGTGTTTCTCAGCATCTCTGTGTCCCAGAGCTTGCTGTGAAAGGTGTCTGAGCATCCTGGTGGCGGCAGGGGCCCCTCCATCCGGGGTGATACACACCGTGTGGTGGTGTCACTGGGCCCTGGGGTCCCCACATCTCAGCTGTGTTGGGGCCACACCTGGTCGGGGCACCGGCATGGAAGGCCACACAGCTCACCCAGCCTGGCTGCGGGCCTGCGCTCTGTGGCCGAGGATGGAGGACTTCAGAACAAGCCTTCTGTGAGAGGTGCAGACTTTCTTTTCCTTTCTTTAAAAAAAATATTTATTGATTTTAGAGAGGGAGAGACAGCGATCTGAGAAACATTGATTGGTTGCCTCCTGTGAGCCCCTTGACCAGGAGTGGAGCCCACCACTGTTAGGTGTCCGGGCCAATGCCCACGCAGGCCAGGGCAAGATGCGCGTTCTCAGCAGGAGGGTGTGGGCTCCGGAGGGACTGGTGCAGCAGCAGCCAGGCCGGCTGGTGTCAGGCGCTGCTTCCGTCATGGCTGGGAGAGGTGGCTGTGGTTGTCTGGACCCGAACGCCCCAGGAATTCCCCTGGGAGTTTGTGGGCGTCCCCTGGCTTTTCCCGCCCTGGACAGCAGCAGGCCGGGTGGCAGTGGTGACTGTCCTTGGGTCCTGGTGAGCGAGGATCCAACTCTGATGGTCGGTCCCACTGGGCCAGGCAGAGGGCAGCGCTGGGCTCACGGGTGTGCTCATGGGCTGGGAGAGACACCTCCGTCCGCGCCGGCAGGCCGGGGGGCAGAGGTGGCCTCCTGATGGGCACCTTCTTCCTGCCGAGAGGCCCTGGGACTGCGTTTATGGGGAGGGAGTCGGAGTCGGCCCTGGGGCCGCCTGTGGTGCTGACAGGCAGCCTGGAGGCCCCCAGCCTGGCCACCCCCTCTTCTCTTCTGGGTGGGTTCACGGCCAGGTCCTCACCTTGGCTCCCAGGATTGAGCATACGGCCACAACTCAGTCAAGTGTCAGGGCGGGGAACAGCAGGGCACCGGCGTGACCTGGCGGGGTTGGGAGAGGCTTTGCGAGGACATGTCCACAGCCCTTCCCCGGAGCCTGTGCTTGAACGCTCTCCTTCACGGCCCCTCCCTCCGCCGCTGAGTGGACCGGCCTGGGCCCTGCCCCGCCCCCTGCCCCGCCCCCAGGAAGCAGAGCCCAGCCTGACCTCCGACTGCCACCTGCTGCACTGGCAGTGCAGGGCCTGTCGGGGGCCCAGCTGAGCCCCCCAGCCCCTCCGGAGGCCAGCCCCAGGGTGCCTCCTCCCCTCAGTGCCTGAAGCCGTCCCCGGCGAGCACCCACCCCTGAGCGATCCCTGCGGAGGGACTGCAGCTGTCCGAAGGGCCACTCGGACCCCCGGGAGGAGGCCCAACACAGCCTTCCGGGCCCAGGTCCCCAGAGGCTGCGCACTGGGCGGGGCGGAGGCCGGCGTAGACGTCCTGCAGTCCAACGTCTGGTGGTCAGAGTGGCAGCTCCCGGAGAGCCCGCAGCTCCCTCCGTCACAGGTCCGTGCAGCTCTCCTGGTCCACTTGCTTGCAGCACAGCACAGGGGGCTGGCCACGCCGCAGCCCCGCCCCCAGGCCCTTTGCCCACCCTCAGCGTGGCCCCGAGATGGCCTGTCCGCACTCTCCAGGAGACCTGCCTCCCTCACGGGCCGTGGCCTGGTGCCCAGAGGCTGCTAGGCAGGCACCCCCGAGTGAGAGACTGGCCCGGCCCCCAACCCACCACAGACACAGGCACCGTTGGGCCGCGGGGCCAAGTAGAGGGGACTGTGTGTGTGACCGAGCCACAGATGGCAACCAGGGCTTTGCTGGGGGCTGTCGCCAGTGCGGCGGGTACTCCACTGTCCCCAAGAGGAGGGACTTCACTCCGCCACCACCTCCCAATGGAGCCCAGAGGACCAGAGCAGACGTGGAACCCGCGCCAAGAACACCAGTGGACAAATGAAAGGGCTGGCCCGGGGACAGATGACAGCCAGCCAGCACAGGGAAGGGCCTCTCCAGGCCCTGGGCGCAGGGGGCAGTCCAGCAGGGCTCCTGGGGGGCGCACTGTACACAGTCAGAACCCCCAGAATTTGGTCAGCGCCAAGTCAGGGGCCGTGGAGCCCTGGGGAGGAGGGCTCAGCCTGGTGGCCAGAGCAGAGGACGAGGCCCCAGCTGCAGCCTCGGGCCTGGTGTTTGAGGGGCAGGGATGCAGGTGTGAGCAGGACTGTGCTCCCTTTGGAAATGGTGGCCCCCGAGGAGCCCTGTGGAGTCCCTGCCAGGGGGCCAGGTGGTGGCTGCTCTGGGGCAGGCCCTGGCATGCGGCCGGAAGGCCGGCCTGCTGCACGGGGCTGGGCCCTGCCACTGAGTCAAGGGCCTGGGGCTGCCACTTACTCAGAAGAGCAAGTCTGGGCCAGGTGGGCAGGGCCTGGCCTTCGGCCGCCCGGTCCCGGAAGCAGGCGTCACCCCCACTCCTGCGCCCGTCGAGCCGTCCAGAAGACCCGCAGCCGAGGCTGTGCCCCTGCAGACTGTCTCCCTGGGGGTCCGTTTGGGGAGGACGCTGGGGCCAGGCTCCTGAGCCCCTGTGGGGCCACAGGCCCTCAAAGGCTCCAGGGCACACCCCGCCCTCTCTGCCCCCTGAAGCTAGATTGAAGCCCAGCCTCCTCCTCTCCCACCCCTCGGGGACCCAGTGACAGGCTGGGAGCGGGACGTCTGCTGTGTGACTGAAAGACCGGACCCTTGGCGCTGGGCTGGGCTGGGGAGGCAGTTCTTCCTGAAAACCTTTCTGTTGTTTTGAGTAAGACCCGAGCAGCCCCCGTGTGAGGTGGGAAGGCCACGTGCCAGCCGGGCACCCCAACACTGCTGTGCCTCGGGGACTTGTCATTGAAGGGGCCTGCCCTGGGGGGCCACATGGAGGCACGGGGTGCAGTGGGGTGTGGGCTTCGAAGCCACAGGGAAGCTGGGGGCGCACAGGCTTGTGGCCTCGTGGCCGACCCGCCTGCACTCAGAGGCCTTGGGCCCACGGAGGGAACAGGGCCTCACCCCCCCAGCCAGGCCACCGAGGGTCACGGGCTGGGGCTCCCTGTCCCCATGGGCCCCGACACCCCAGAGGTAGGCCAGGCTCCTGCCCGTTCCTGGCAGACGGGAGCCCTGGTCCGGGCAGCATGGCCAGGGTGAGCCAAGGAGGCCGGTGGGGGAGCCAGTGCCCACTCCTCACTGGTTCCCGAGGATGCCCCCAGGACAGCAGATCTCTGTCCTCCAGGGATGCTGCCAACCCCAGGGTCTGGGGGCTTCCAAGGCAGTTTCTAGCAGCCTGGGAACTCCTGGGGCTGAGGTAGGGGCTGCTGGGCACTGAGCTGCCTGGAGGAAATGCAGATAGGTGGCTGGGGTGGGGCTTGAGACCCCGGTGTGGTAACGGGGTTGGAGGGAGAGCGCGGCCGGGCAGGACTGAGTTCATGAGGGTGAAGATGTTGGCCAGGGCAACGGGCGGGTGGCCGAGCTGGTGGCCAGGCTAGGAGCCGGGGACGCTGGCAGTGATGCCTGTGAGTGAGCCCAGTGCTCTTTGGGACAACCCCCCAGGGCTTGGTCCTCCCCCCAGCGTAGGCGAGGGGCCTGCCCCTTGGTGACCATTTACCACCTCCCTAGTGGCCCTGGGCTAAGGACAAGCTGGCAGACAGCCCCCCCAGAGGAGTTGGGGGGCCGTACTAGCCTGGGGTGAGAGTCAGGGCAAGATGAGGCCAGGGACCTCAGCCGGGTTCCAGCTCCTGGGACAGAGGGTGGAGGGTTCTGTCCTGGTCTCCACTGGCCACAGCCCACCCCAGAGGCCCACCAGAGCTCTTGTGGGGCCCTGGGACCCTGCCCTGGCCCCCGAACCCCAAGCCACAGAAACCCTTGTTTCAGCAGCAGACAGTGTACCCCCCCCCCCCACACACACACCAAAAGCCCCGGCAAGGGGACAGTTCAGTGCCCTCAGGCGGAGAGAGCCAGCTGGGGAGGGTAGGAAAGGAGGGCTGGGGGGGGCGGGGGCAGGCATCTGGGGGCCCAGGTGCTGAACAGCTTTTGAGGGGCCGCAGGCCGGCCGGGAATGGATTGAACAAGGTTAGGACGCAGGGAGCCCTGGGTGTCCCCGTGACCAGCAGGGGCTCCCCCAGGTCCCCTAGCACAGAACCTGGGCCCTGCACCCCCAGACCTCAGCCTCCAGCACCTGGGGCCCCAGCCTCTGCCCTCTTCTCTCCCAGTTCAAGCCTGCCCCCACCCTCAGCCTCAGGACCTCCCCGAAGCGTGGTGTCGGCCAGATGCTCTGGGTACCTGGGTGTGCTGGGCCCTGGGGGGCCAGGGACTTGCTGAACGAGAGGCTCAGGGCTGGCGGCTGGCAGACTCCTGACTGGGCTGAGAGGCTGCGGGCAGAGGTTGCCAGCCCCAGGGTGCATTTGGGTATTTGAGGAGCCCCTCCCACGCCCAGCGACGGTGCCAGGCAGCTGGGTGGTGGCACCTGCCCTGGGCGTCTGTAGGGCTGTGAGCCGCCAGGTGACGGCGTCTCTCTTCTTCCTGTGACAGGAGGCGGGGCCCACGGCAGCCTCCCCATCAGCACCTTCATCGACGTGGACCTAGTCGCTGGCTCGGCACCCAGGCTGGGCCGTGGGCTCCCGGGGTTGTGGGCAGGCCCCCGGAGGTCAGCAGCCAGCAGGCCCCGGGTGTCAGAGCTCCCAGGCCGGAGCCCCGTGCCAGGCAGGCCCACCAAGCCCAAGGCCAGCCCACACCATGCTACCTTCGTCTGAGGCCCCCAGCGGACCCCGTGCCTCCCGACCCCGCACCTGAGCTGCCCGCCTGGACACGTGTGAAGGAAGGCCCATGACCTCCGGGCGCAGCCCGAGCCTGTCTTCAGGGCCCTGGGAGCCAAACTGGGAGAGGGTGGGGGCATGGCTGCAGACGGGGCTGCCTCGGGGGGGGGGTCCTCCGCCTGCCCCCTGGCACCCGGCCTCCCCTCAATAAAATGTCTTCAAGGACAGAGAGTTGACCTCCTGCTGGGAGCTGGGGCTCCAGGCCCTGTCCTCGGGGAGACCTTGTGGGAGGGGACGAAGAAGCGGCCCACAGGGCAGGTCTTGGTCTCGTCCACGTCACACCGTCCCCTGCAGGTCAGCACGGCTGTCCTGTCCAGGGCACAGTGGGGACCCTGCAGGTGGCCATTGACTCACTTGGAGGGGGTCGCCTGAGTGGACACCTGACTGGAGAAGGCCCAGGAAAGGGGGTCAGGGTCGTGGTCACGGGAGGGGCCTCGGAGGGGTAGGGCAGTGTGGAGCCAGGCCAAAGTGGACAGAGATGGTGCCGTCGGCTCAGGTGGCCTTGGGGCAACCCCAGCAGCGCAGCGCTGAGGGACCCCGACCCCTTCCCTCTGACTAGGGGGAGAGGGGCCCTCAGTTTGTCAGAGACCTGAGAGCAGGAGGGGCTGTGGGGCTGCTCTGTGTGCCCCCAGGGGAACCCTGGGGGGGGGGGTGTCAGGATGAAGAGGGCCAGCACCCACCGCCACCTCCGCAGTCTAGACAAGGAGGGAGGGAGGATGGTGCCCCGCCCATCCCAGTTCACAGATGGGTCGCAGGCACTCTTGACTGGGTGGGATCCCAAGCCAGGGCTTGGTGGCTCTCGGTGTCCCCTGGGTAACCAGCCAGGGCTCTGCTGGGGACCAGAGAGGGAGTCCAGGAGAGATGGGGAGGGGACACCCCTGAGTCGGGGAAGACTGAGGGGCAGCTCTAGTCCTGCCGCGCCCCCCCCACCACAGCGTCCTTCCTGGGCTGCCCCAGGCTGCTCCTGGGGGTGGCGGCAGAGACACTGTCCAGTCCCTGTTCGCAGAATGGCACCCAGCCCGAGGTGTCGGGCCTCCTCTCTGCCCAGCCTCACGTTGGTCACGGGCCAGCACCCGCCCTCCAGGCCAGGGCCGGGGAGGGGCTGAGCACAGTTCACACGCGGACCAGGTGTCCAGGCCCCTGCCTGCTGTGTTGCCCTGGAAGACCTTGAGGGGCAGCTTCTCAGTTTAGACCCAAGGGCGCTGTCAGGTGGCTGAGACCAGAGGGGCAGTGGGCCCTCTGGGTCTGTCGGGCTGAGCCGGGCAGCAGACACGGGGGGCCAGGTTAATCATTTGCACGTGGCCTTGACCCCAGCTGCCCCGGCCACTCTGCTCCTGACTCCTGCGGCCCTTCACGCCAATTCAGGAGGAGCCATGGGGCACTCGGCCTGGGCCCCCAGCCCCCCACCCACACTGCCCCTGCTGCTGCTGCTGCTGCTGCTCCTGGGGCCCCCCGGGGCCCAGCTCCGGGCCAGCAGGGTGAGCACGGGCCCCGTCGACCTGCAGCCCTGGCTTTCCTTGGGGGAGCCTGGGGCTGAGGCCTCGCAGGGTATAGGGTAGGCGAGGGGCCCAACCTGGTGAAAGCTGGCCGGTGGGGGTGAGGTGGGTGTGCTGGGCTGGCCCAGTGGCAGGGGGCAGGGAGCCTGGGACTCCAACTTACTGGGCCCCCATTGCAGGGGGAATGGCCTGCCCCCCTTTCCAGCCTCTGTGAGGTCTGAGTGTTGGAGGTGGGTGGGGTCGGGCCTCTGAGGGCCTCACAGCTTCCCTAACCCCAGGGTGGACCTCAGGGGTGGGGGTGCCCTGCCCTGCGGACCCCAAGCCAGCTTCATCTGACCCCTTGGGCTCGGCGGGAGGCAGGTGGCACAGGCCCAGTGGAAGCCTCGGGGTGTTTGGTGTCCCTGGGTCGCCACTCCAAGACTTGAGAGCCCAATTAGGGAGTCTGAGGCCCGGGGCTGTGCCAGCACCCCCACACGGCCAGGGTACGGGGGGCCAGTCCCACACCGATGCTGTCCCAGCCCTCTTGGCTCCTCCTAGAACCACACAGAACCCCAAGAACCTAAGGTCACAGCGACCTCTGGGAGCCCCATGACTCCTGTGACCTCGGTGGCCCCCATGACCTCACCGGTGGGCACTCCAGAGGCAGAGGATCCCCGTGGTGTGGGGCTCACCTTCCCACCCAGCGTGGCTCCCTCCAGCAGCAGCCCTGGGGGCCCAGGTTGGTCAGGGGGGCTTCCTGGAGGAGGAGCCGGCTGCACCTGGGCAAGTGGGGTGGTGGGAGGACGAGCCATGGGGTGGGGGGCTGGTGTGGGAGCCCCGTGATGCTGGCTACCTCCCCAGCAGTGCTCACCGAGGACGGGCAGCCCTGCCGGTTCCCCTTCCGCCATGGTGGCCGCCTGCTCCATTCCTGCACTTCGGAGGGAAGCGCCCACAGGAAGTGGTGGGTCCCGGCCGGCCCGGCCTCCCCTCCTCTCCAGGGTCCCTGGCCCCTTCCACCCTCCTGCTCCAGAGGGATCGGGCCCCCTGCAGGGGGAGTGAGCGTGTAAACGAGGGAATGGTGGGGGTGGGGTGTGCGTGGAGCTGAGAGAGCTGGCCGGGCCCTCCTGTCACCGCACACACCTCCCACAGGTGTGCCACAACTCACAACTACGACCGTGACCGGGCCTGGGGCTACTGTGCGCAGGCCTCCGAGCCCCAGGAGGGCCCAGGTGGGTGCCTGGGGTTTGGGAGGCCTGAGCCCAGGCTGGGTGGGGGCAGGGCCTGGGCAGGGGAGGAGCCTGGGGCATCAAGGTCCACGTGCTGGTGGGGGCCACGGGGACAGAGCTGACTGGGGAGGGGGCCCCGCCTGCATGGCAGGAGGGGTGCAGGGGTTGAGCCCACTACAGGCCTGGGGGCTGGGAGGGGTGGCACAGGAACCCTCAGCCCCAGGGATCCAGGATTTGGGAGTGAGGATCCCTCTCAGGAAGGACCCTGCCCTCTCTGGGGACCGCAGGGTTGCTTTGGCCATTGCTGAGGTCAAGACCCACCTGCCCAGGGTCTGAGTGTTGAGTGGGCCTGGGGGCTCCTCCTCTCCTGGGGCACCCGTACCCCCAGGACCTCAGAAGCAGCATCTTTAAGGCAGCAGCCCCAACAGAGGTGAGCAGCGAGGGGCACAGAGCCAGGGGGCAGACTGGCTGGGCCCTCAGACGCTGCCCCTGCCCTCCTGCGTGTCCCCAGCTGCTCTGGACCCCTGTGCCTCCAGCCCCTGCCTCAACGGTGGCTCCTGCACCCGCATCCAGGACCCCGGGGCCTTCCACTGCAGCTGCACCCGGGCCTTCACCGGCCCGGACTGCGGCACGGGTGAGCAGGCCTGGGGGCGGGGCAGGTCCTGGGAGGGTGGGACCCTGGGGTGGGGGCAGTGGTGTGCAGAGAGCGGGGACCCACCGTGTGGCCCCCCAGAGAGATGCTTTGACGAGACCCGCCACGAGTACCTGGAGGCAGGCGACCGCTGGGCCCGGGCACACCAGGGCCGCGTGGAGCAGTGTGAGTGTGCGGGGGGCCGTGCCCAGTGCGAGGACACACGCCACACAGGTACACGGCACGGTGGGGAGCGGAATGTCCAGAGCCTTCCCATGGGTGACCCCATCCAGCCCCGGTCCCCACCCTGGGAAGGGACTCCCCCAGGATCACCCAGCCACGGGCACCTGACCCCAGCCCCAAGTCCGGCCCCTCGAGGCCTGAGGCCTAGCTTCTGAGCCCTCCCCACAGCCTGCCTGAGCAGCCCGTGCCTGAATGGGGGCACCTGCCACCTGATTGTGGCCACCGGGACCACCGTTTGTGCCTGTCCTCCGGGCCACGCTGGGAGGCTCTGTGACATCGGTGAGTCGCTCGGCCTCAGAGCCGCACGGTTGGCCTCCCAGCCGGGGGGGGGGAATGGGTGGACGCGGCCTCGAGCCCAGGCTCACGGCCCACTGCCGCCCACAGTGCCCGCCCAGCGCTGCTTCACGGGGAATGGCACCGGGTACCGCGGCGTGGCCAGCACAGCGGCCTCTGGCCTCAGCTGCCTGGCCTGGAACTCCGACCTGCTCTACCAGGAGCTGCATGTGGACTCGGTGGCCACTGCGGCGCTGCTCGGCCTCGGCCCGCACACCTACTGCCGGTCAGCACTGGCCCGGTCTTCCGGAGACCACTCACCCGAGGCGGCCAGGGTCTGTCCCGGGGGAGGCCCCTGGCCCCTCTGCCTAGGGGGCTGCCCCGGTGAGAAGAGCCAGGCCAAGGTTCCGGCCCCCGGGCCCAAGGCCACCGTGTCCATGGGCAGAGAGAGCAGAAGGCCGCTCCGGGGTGCGGGTGTAGGGGTCCCACCTGCTGGGTGTCCCCCTTCCCTCCCCTGTCTCCGTGCCCAAGGGGCAGGGGGACACCCGCCCAGCCGCCTCTCCCCACACCAGGAACCCCGACAAGGACGAGCGGCCCTGGTGCTACGTGGTGCGAGAGCACGCGCTCTCCTGGGAGTACTGCCGCCTGGCGGCCTGCGGTGCGGAGGCTCGAGCGGGGCGGGCGGGCGGGCGGGCGGTCCCATGCCCACCCCTGGCCTCCGCTCTCTGGAGGACCACTGCCCATCTGAGGATGGGGCAGGGCTGGTCCAAGGCCACACAGCGGGTTGGTGCAGGGGTCAGAGCAGGCAGCCGGTCACCAGGGCCTCTGGGTGGCTCTGGCCCACCTGAACCACTCAGGGAAGGCCACCAGAGAGGACAGTGCATCTGTGGGGCAAAGAGCTTGGTGGGAGGCCCTGCCCTCAGGGCTCCCTGACCACCCTGGGCTTGGCTCTGGGCCCAGAGGCTGCTGGGAAGGACACGGACCGGGGCTCAAGCCAGTCCTGTGTGCGGGAGCCCAGAGTTGGGCGAGAGCCCTGGGCCCTGCTCCGGGAGGGCTGCCTGGGCGGGTGCAGCCGGGGCACGTGTGACCAGTGACGTGTGTCCCCAGAGTCCCTCACCCGAGCCCCGCACTCACCCACCCTGACCCTGCTGACCATGCCTGGGGCCGCCCCCACCGGTCGCCAAACCTGTGGCAGGCGGCACAAGAAGAGAAGCTTCCTCCGGCCTCGCATCATTGGGGGCTCGTCCTCACTGCCCGGATCCCACCCCTGGCTGGCCGCCATCTACATCGGGGACAGCTTCTGTGCCGGGAGCCTGGTCCACACCTGCTGGGTGGTGTCTGCCGCTCACTGCTTCTCCCACAGGTGAGCCACTGGGACCCCAGGGTGCCTGGCCCCCAGCCTCTTTCAAACAGCCCGTGTCCACCCTGAACCATCCACACCTGCATCCTCTACCCAGCCGGTTCGCCCACCATCCGAGCATCCACACCTTCCCACTGTCCTCCCCCACCCCCCTGCCCACCGGCATCTACCTGACAGCACCCACTGTACTGTCCTCACGTTGCCCCACCTACCGGGGTAAACGCCCTCCTTTTTTCCTTCTGCTCCCCACTCCACGTCGCCCCTCTGACTCAGGTGGGACAGGGCGCTCAGCCAGGTGCTGGGATAGGAGGCTACGGAGACCCATCCGATGCAGTCCCAGCCCCAGGCTCACGGCTGTCAGAGCAGAGCTAGCCTGCGCGTGCGCAGGAGGGGTGATGGGCGGGGCCGTTCCTTGCACAATGCACCCGGGCCCCGCCCCCTCCCCAGGCGGCACAGGTGACGCTGGGACTCCGAGGCCCCTGCAATCGCTGGGGTGGGGACTAGGCTTAGCTCCAAGCGCTGGGGTCTGGGGGTTCCAGTGGGAGAGGCCAGGCCTGACAGTGGCGGCTCAGAGATCAGGGCTGGGGAAGGCTGGGGGTGGGTGGCCGTGAGCCCTCGCAGTCATCCCAGGGCCGTGCGTGGGGGTGGGGCGGTGGCCTGTGCTTAGCCCTCAGCCGACTCTCTGCTGGCCTGTGAAATGGGAACCCTGCGTTCTCCCCAGCATGGTACTGGGGGGTTAAGAAGCTGGGGGAGGGGAGCAGGCATCTGCTCTCACATGCAGGGAGGGGTTGCGGGGAGCCAAGCCTGTTGGGGGTCACAGGTCTGGGTCAGGCAGGGCCGGCTGACGGAACAGGACAGATGTGGGCAGGAAGGAGAGGGTAGCTCAGACTCCTTAGCCACACGGCAGGCAGAAGTGGAGACCCCAGGGAAGCCCTCAAGGGCTGGGGTTTCCAGCCAGCAGCCTGTCCTGAGACGCCACCCAACAGAGTTAGTGGAGCCCCCGGCTCTGGCCCTGCCCAGGAGGCAAGAGGGCAGAGCCCAAGTAGGAGGGGCCCTGCAGACAGCAGATGGGAAAATGGAGGGGCTGATGGGGGCCTGGACCTGTGCCCTGCAGTAGTCCGGCACAGGGTCACCCTCCGGGCTGTCCGTGGCTGCCCGGCCCCCATGGGTGGGGCGAGAGCCGACCTCAGGGGTGGAGCAGAGGGCCAGAGTCATGCTGCCACCAGCTCTCCCCCCCTCCACAGCCCCCCCAGGGAAAGCGTCTCGGTGGTCCTGGGCCAACACTTCTTCAACCTCACGACGGACGTGACACAGACATTTGACATAGAGAAGTACATTCCGTACCCCCTGTACTCCGTGTTCAACCCCAGGGACCATGACCTCGGTGAGTCCCGGCTCGGGCCAGGTGGGGGCGCTGCAGGGCCGGTGGGGTGCGCTCCGCTCCCTAGCGGAGCTGGGACTGGGGGAGGGGTGGGCCCCCGAGGACCCCAGGAGAGTCCTCACATAGGGGAGTGTGAGGAGGGGTGGACAGGAGGGACAGAGAGCAGAATGAGGGCGGAGGGCAGGGAGGGGGTCCAGGGCAGAGCAGTGGGGGAAGCCTGAGTGGGCCTTCCTGCACCCTGTTGGGTCTCCTAGGCCGTAGCCTCTTGCCCCTTGGGGCCGTACCCCAGGGTAACTCAGGGCCACGCTCTATCCATCCGGCCCCAGGCTCACCTCTGGCCTCTCCCCCACCCAGTCCTGATCCGGCTGAAGAAGAAGGGGGACCGCTGCGCTGTGCGCTCCCAGTTCGTGCAGCCCATCTGCCTGCCCGAGTCCAGCAGCCCCTTCCCCGCCGGACACAAGTGCCAGATTGCAGGCTGGGGCCACCAGGATGAGAGTGAGTGGCACTGGGGGCAGCGGGCCAGCTTGGGCCCTGGGGAGCGGTGGGGGCCCGCCCACGCTGACGGCGCCCCTGCCCACAGACGGGAGCGCCTACTCCAGCTACCTGCGGGAGGCGCTGCTGCCCCTGGTGGCCGACCACAAGTGCAGCAGCCCCGAGGTGTACGGGGCAGACATCAGCCCCAACATGCTGTGCGCCGGCTACTTCGACTGCAAGTCGGATGCCTGCCAGGTGAGCCCCGCCTCTGACGTGCCGCCCAGGGGAGGGGCCGAGCCACAGGGCCAGCAGGGAGCACCCCACCAGCCGCCCCGTCCCCCGCCACTGCCGGGAGGCCCCTCCTCACTCAGATGGGAGGACTGAGGCCCCAGAGGGGCCAGGTCACAAAGCCTGACCCGTCCCAGCTGTTGTCAAGGGCAGCTGTGTGTCCCCAAAAGCCAAACTGTCCTCGTCCCTGTGGGCGCCGTCTGCTGGCCAGTTCCCGAGGCTCACACTCCGAGGCACTGCTGGCCCAGGAGGGGGTGGTGACAGCGGCTGCTCCCCATGTCACAGACGGGGAGACTGGGGCTCAGGGAGGGACGGGTACTCCCCCCGAGTCACACAGGGGCTCTGTTCGCGCCGCCACAGGTGTGGTGAGGGGGTGGGCTGGTTGGGGGCTTGGCGCTGGCCCCTCGGGGGAAGTCCAGGGTAGCTTCTTGGAGGAGGGGCGTTTGCACTTGTCCTGAGGGGTGAATAGTTCTCCAGGTGTGGAGGGTGTGCCCGGTGGGTGTGTGCCGGAGCACAGGGGCCACCCGGGGCGTGCTGGTGGGCGCCCCACGGGCAGACAGCCGGAGGAGTGCACTGCTGGCCGCGGAGGGAGCCTGGGCAGGGCTTCAGGGGCCAGATGACAGGTCAGGCCCTGTCACACCAGCCACAGGAGGACATCCTGCCTGTGAGGCCTGGGGGAAGTGGCCCATGTGCTTGCTCGGAAATAAATATCTTTGCCATCTGTCCCCACGCTGGCAGGAAGTCCTCCCAGGGGCCCAGGGACGCCTCAGAGACGCCTCTGGGGGCATTCTCGGGCTGGGGCAAGGGAGGCCGGGACGGGAGCAGGTGGGGGGCTATTTCCAGGGTGCCCAGCTGGCCCAGCACTGACAGGCAGCTCTCTCTGCGCAGGGGGACTCCGGTGGGCCTCTGGCCTGCGAGAAGAACGGGGTGGCTTACCTGTATGGCGTCATCAGCTGGGGCGACGGCTGCGGGCGGCTCAACAAGCCCGGCGTCTACACCCGCGTGGCCAACTATGTGGACTGGATCAAGGACCGGGTTTGGCCCCCTAAGCGGCCTGCGGATCCCTCCTGAGCACCCCAGGGCGGGGTGGGGGGGGCGTGCTGTCTCCCTGCCTGCTGGCAATAAAGATGTTGCCAAGAACACAGTCCACCCTGCCTGTCCCACCGCCCCCAGCCCAGCCTTCCCTCCCAGGCCTGACTGGGCCCACACACACCTCCCTGGCCGTGAGCCCCTGTGAGCCTTCTGCCCCGACTGCCAAGAGTCTGTTCACGGGGTGACCCGCAGTGGCGGGGTGTCTGGGGTTCAAGCCTTCCTTGCCTTCCTGAGCCAGCTGTGCTGAGTCAGAGTGTGAGCTGGGTGTCTTCCGTTCGTCCCCCCAGATTCAGCGCCCCCCTAGAGGTGGAGCTCATGGCTGCGTCTATTTTCTCCTGTGCCTGCTGGGTCCTTGTGGGGTCCTTGTGGGGCTCTCGGGGGCCTGGAGGGGGGGCCCTAGCACCTGTGGTTACAGTCCCCAGTCCGAGGGGCTTCTGTCGGTTGCCGAGCAGCCAGGCGTGCAGACCCCTGCACCGCAGGCGCTGCTCCTCCCACATCCCCACATTGGAACTGGCTCCCCTCGGGCAGCTCACGACCCACCCCCTCACTTTTGGGTCTAGAGGAGGTGCCCCCGGGGAGGAGGGGGGGTCAGCCTGCCAGGGCCCTGGCCATTGACACCTGCCTTATTATTATTACAAGCCTTTTCAGGCTTGCCGTCTGTTCAGGGCTTTATGTTCATGTTTCTGAGTGAGGCTGGCCTGTCGCTCTCCATCCTTAAGTCTGTGGATGGCTGTCACCACAGCCACCCCGCCCAGCAGGGGCTCAGGAGTGTCCCCTCCCCCACTGGGCCACAGGGACTCTGCACAACGCAGGCACGGCCTGTTCTGCGAAAGCTCAGCACGAGTCCCTGTGAAGTGGCCGGGCCCTGGTTCCTTCACAGGATGGCACTTCCTTCCTGACCCAAGTCCGAGTTGTCACCGCCCTGGGCGAGGGTCCCAGTTCTTCCTGAGCCCATGACAGGAAGTGACGCCTTTAGGAATCTGTCTGAATTGTCACACTTCCCTGACGTTCACAGTGTCCTCCTGTCACTTAATCCTGGTGCCTTTGCCCGTCCTCTGCCCGTGCATGGAGGGTGTCCCACGGCCTCCTGGCCTCCGCTGCGGAGGCCAAGGGACCGGCTACAGATTTGCCTCTTCTTCCGAAAACAGCCTTTTCCCGCTGGCGACGCTGCTGAGGTCTGTGTCTGCGCTGTGCTGCCATGTGCGCCGCTGGGGTGTGTGCGGACACACACGCTCCTCCCCACGCTCTCAGCCTGCTGGTCTGCTCAGCACAGGTGTTTGCTGCTGGCCCCCGAGGCCGTCATCCGACCCAGGACGGTCTGTGTCAGCACGCTTTTCCTGTGCCGCGGACGACCTCAAAACTCAGGGTGGTTTAACCACAGCCGTACATCTGGCTCACGGTGGTGAATCGGTGACCTGAACTTGGGCTGGGCCGGCTCCTTCACACGCCGGGTGGTCAGTAGGCCCTGGGCTGTCTTGTGCCAGCCGGCTGGAGCCGTGGGGGGACTGGCCAGCCCACCTGGGCTTACCACACGGCGGAGCCCGGGCTCTGGAAGAACGAGTGCCCGTGAGCATCTGCAAAGCCAAATCCCAAGGCAGCAAGACTCCACCTTCCGTGGGATGAGGTGTCCACAGCTGTTCCCCCAGGGAGTCTGCCACACGCCGTCCTGGTCAGTTCAGGCCACTGGGCCCGGAGAGCACAGATGGGGCCTTGGCGACAGGAGTCCATTCCTCTCTGTCCCCAAGGCTAAAGTCCAAGGTCGAGGAGCCTGGGGGTGGTTCCGGTCAGAGGCTCACAGAGGGCGCCTTCCCACTGTGTCCCCTGTGGCCTTCCCCTGCTGCCTGTCCCCCCACTAGGGAGGCCATGGTCCGTGGGATCAAGGCTCTGCCCTTTGACCCCAAGTAACCTTAATCACCTCCTCTAAGACCCCTCTCCATACACAGTCACACAGGGGTCACTGTTTCAACGTCTGAATTTTGGAAGGGACGCCGTGTGGCTGGGCGGTCACTTCCACCCACACGCCCCCGGCCGTAGGTGGACATGGACAGGGCAAGGTCCTGGGCGTGTCAGGTGGCACGTGCTTTGCCAGACCGTGTGCCTGGAAATACAGGCCGGCTCTCGCACGGCCAGGAGCTGGAGGGCCCCGCCCTGGGCCGTTGGGCTGGGAGTGGAGGCTCCAGTGCCTGTAGGAGGTGAGTGGCAGGTGCAGGTCTGGCGGCAGGTCCCGCAGCTGCAGGGTGACAGTGTCCTGTGGCCTCGAGTCTAGCAGTGGTGACGGCGTCCCTTGGCCGTGTAGTCGGTCAGTGGAGCAGCTGTGACCCACCGCTTCTTGGGAGGTGGCAGCCATGCCCCTGGCTCTGGAGTCCAGCCATGTGGTGATAGAGGGCTGACCTCCTTCCTGCAAAGCCCTAACTGTGTCAGTTAGGCCAGAGTGCGTCTCTACCACCTGCAACCAGCACCTCTGGCCACAACGGTTCGGGAGACCACTGTGGCTGCAGCTGCTACTCCAAAGGACCAAGGACAGGCAGCCAAACAACACACACTCGTCCCTCACGGTCCTGGAGGCCGGAAGTCAGGGACCGGGGACTGGGACGGTTCTCCCCCAGGTGTGCTGAGGGGCTGTCTTCTGGCCACGCCCTCACACAGCTCTATTCAAAAGGTCCCTGATCTGTCATGGGGGCTCCGCCCTCGTGGTCTGACTGCCTCCCACAGGCCCCGCCCCCTGACCCCATCACTAGAAGGGCAGGGCTTCAACAGGTGCCTGGTGTGGGCTGACAGTGCTGGGTCTAGAGCAGGAGCGGAGGAGCAGCAGGCAGGAGCGTCTGCGGTGGGAGCCAGGCAGGAAGCTCGCCTTGCCTTTTGGCAGCCCTGGTGGCCGTGGGCGGGGAGGGGAGCTGTCCCTCCCCATTGTAGCCCGACTTCTCCGGGGCCAGTGGGGGAGGAGGTGCAGCTGCCCGGCGGCGGCGTGGTAGGAGCCTGGGTCAGGGCCAGCCCTCAGGAATGCTGCAGGCGTGGTCCCTCCTGGCAGGGACGGCCAGGCACCAGGCGCCTGGGTGGTGGATGTGGTGGGCCTGCTGGAGGCCGCCGCCCCCAGCTGCCACCCAGCCTCATGCCGGCTGTCCCGGGCCAGCCTCTGGGGCCTGCACGTGTGGGCAGCATGAATGGGCCCCTGTGGCTGGGCAGCCGCTCTGGGGCGGGGGGGTAGCTGGGGGTTACACAGATGACGCAGGTAGGAAGCTGTGCTGCTTCCTGGCCGGGTGTGACCCTGCTCTGCATTAGGCCCCAGCAAGACATCCCAGGGCATCAGAATCACGTTTGTGACCTACCGGGGACAGTGGGCTCGGTGGCCCTGGCTCTCTGAGTCCAGCACGGTGGCTGCCGAGCTGGGACTCCGCCTCCGGGCTCCCACTCCAGCCCGGGCTCTGCCAATGGGAGCCCGCCCTGGTGGTGAGAGCCAACACCCATGGCTCTGAGTGCCGCTCCCCTCCTCTGTGAGTGACCCACACGTGCCCCCGGAGTGGCAGGCTTCCTGCCCGCGGAGTTCGGGTGAACAATACGCGTTGGCACCTCCCTCTTCTCCCCACCAGGATGGAGGCCCCCAGAGGAGGGGCCTCCAGGAGGCCACACTGCCTCTCAGCTTTTCTGGGGTGCTGCCCCCACTCTGCGCCACCTACCTACTTGGATGTTCTTGGATTCTTAGAGCCGGGGGCTGATGGACGTTCCAGGTGTGGCCCTGCGAGGCCACCTGGGGGCCTGGAGAACCAGGACATCTGAGTGGAGCTGCAGGGTGGAGGGAAACCCAGACGCTCAGAGCCCCCCCTGCACCCCACTGGGAAGGGGCCACCTCGCGGGTCTCACAGCGCACAGCTCCTCGGGGCCGTTGCTGCCCAGGGGGCAGGGGCCAGCTTTAGGGGGCCAGCGCCCAGCGGGGCTGGAGGAGCGGCCCCGGGGCGCTGTGTGTGTGGTGAATGAGTCCTGGTCCCAGCAAATGGCAGCCCGCATAAGGCCCCGAGCTGCAGGGGCAGGACAGTACCTCCTCCATCGCCCTGCCTGGGCAGTGGGGTGGCCCCGGGTAGGGGGGTGAAAATGAGGCCTGGGAGTAGAGTCGTCCCCAAGTCAGTCTGTTGGCATCTGGGTGGCAGGTGTGGGGGACAGGTGCCAGAGGGTGAGAGGAGGTTGGTTGCAAACGTTAAAACGAGAGACGTGGACACCAGAGCGAACCTTTCTGTTGGGCTGTTTGCTTCCGTGTGGAAGACAAGCAGAAGCCCCGAGAGGCAGAGCCGGCCTTGGGCCCCTTGCGCCTGCGGCTGGCGCTGGGGGCGCTCCGTGGACCGCCGGACGGTCGGACGGTCTGGGAGGCCGGCTGCGCACGCGGCGGCAGGGGCGCGGCGGGAAGCGCACCCACCTCGCGGGACGCCCCGCCCGCGGCCCGCCCTCGCTGGCCCAGCCCAGGGCCCTCCCGGAGCTATTTTGAAAGTGACCCTGGGCTGGGGCGGCCGCGGGGCGGCGGGCAGAGGCGCGGCGGGCGCGCGGGAACCATGACAGAAGATGACCGAGGCGGCGCTGGTGGAAGGCCAGGTCAAGCTGCGGGACGGCAAGAAGGTGGGGGCGCGCGGCGGGCGCGGGGCGGGCGCGGGGCGCGGGCGGCCGCTCACGGCCCCTCTGTCCCCGCAGTGGAAGAGTAGGTGGCTGGTGCTGCGCAAGCCGTCGCCGGTGGCAGGTGAGCAGGGCGCGGGCCGGAGCCGGGCCGGGACCGGCGTAGGGCGCGGGGGAGCGGGTGCGGGTGGCCTCCTGCGTTGCGCGGGCCGGAGCGCCGCCAGCGCGCCCGAAATAGCCGGCGGCGCCGGGGCTGTAACCGGAGAGCGGTCGGGCCTCGGCTCCGACTGCAGGGACGCCGGGACCCTCCCGCAGGCCGGGCGCAGGGCTGTGGTCGCGGACCGAGGCTCAGGGCGGGAACCGCCTTTGCAGAAGGACAGGCTGCTGTGGCCGGAGGGGCGGGAGCGCAGGAGCCTGGGCCGCCCCCGTCCCGCGCAGGGACCAGAAAGTTACCCCCGGTCCTCCTGGGGTGCTGAGCGGCGCGGGGACTCACTCCTGGAGTGAGGGTTGGACCGAGTGGTGCTGGCGGGGCGGGGGCGGGGGGAGGGGGGCGGCTGCCCCACCCCCTTCCCAGGTGGAGCAGAGGCCTGGCTGCGGGTAGGAGCAGGGCTGCGTCTGTGCCTGAGAAAACCGGAGTCGGCCTTGTGTGGGGCCGGGGAGCATCGTTCTCCTCCCCCGGGGCCGGGGCTCAGTTGGGAGGCGCTGGGCGGCTGCAGCTGCTCCAGGAGACAGGTGCCCTGGAGCCGGCCCAGGCCCCAGGGGTCGCCGGATGCGGGGGTGTGGGCTCGAGCTGCCTCCCACGCGTGGGCCTGCCAGAGAGCCTCCCGGGAGGGTGGGTGGCTGCCCTCTCCCAGAGAGCGGGCAGGGGTGCCCTCCCTGTTCTCTGGGGTCCCCTCCTGGGGTCCTCTTGCTGAGCCTTCATCTCGAGCCTGGCAGTGGTGGTGCAAGGGTCTGCTTCCGTCTGCAGACACGCGCTCCCTGCCTCATGCTACGCCCACCGCTGTGGTTCAGGCCCAGGCCCCCCACAGGCTGGCACCCTGTCCTGGGGAGTCTAGGGAGGCCTAGACGAGGGGGCAGGAGCTGGGGAGACGGAGGGGCCCTGGCAGAAAGGGGGTGAGAGGCGGTGGCCAGGCCAAGGGCAGAGCAGGCTGGGGGCAGAGGCCCATGGTGCCAGTGAAGGGCCCAGCCTGCTGTGGCCGGAGCAAAGCTGGCTGCAGTCTGCGAGGTGTGGTGGGTCCCCAGGGAGCTGGGGCCTGTGCGGACCTCTGGATGGGTATCCCCCTGGAAGAGCAGCCCAGGATTGGCCTTTGTCCCTTTGGGGAGTGGGGTGATTTCTACCTCCTCCACTTTGGAGAGCGGGCTGCGAGGCGAGGTCCGCCCCTCGGGAGGCACTGTTCCCTCTGGAACAGTGGGTGCCAGCACCTTGGAACCCGCTGCATGGCCCAGAGCTGCCCAACTGCCCAGGAGCAGCAGAGACGGCAGGCGCAGCGAGGCAGCGGGATGGCTCACCAGCCTCCAAGGCAGGGCCTGTCCCCAGGGTGCTGGGCTGGGTCCGAGGGGAGCTGCTGGAGGGGAGAGGGTGGGGCCCTCAGGCAGGGCCGTGCCTGAGCACAGCCGCCAGGCCAGGGGCAGGTGGGGGCCCGGGGAGCGGAGGGCACACTCTGTCCCCTCCAGGGTGACGTCCACTCGGAGCCCACCCACGGTTAGGGCGTGAGGACTGTGGGCAGCCTGCAGGGGTGTGACCTGAGGCAGAGATTCAAGGCTGCACCCCTGCTTCACGTGTTCCTGGGAGGGTCCACGGGGACAGTTCAGAGGCACCAGGGGTGCAGCAGGTGCCAAGGGCACGTTGTCACTTGGTGGCCTCGCTGCCACCGGGAGGGAGTGCCTCCTGGAGTCAGGTTGAGTCGGCAGGAGGAAGGGAATCACCTTTAGCGAGAGAAAGGCCGTCACCGACACTGGGTGGCTCAGCTGGTGCGTGTCCCTGGGGTCTCGGCCTCTGTCCTGCACAAAGGGTTCCTGTTCGGGTCCGTCTCTGGTCCCGGCCCATGTCTGGTGACCCTGGGCAGCCTCTCTGTCCCTCCCAGTTTGAGGCCTCCCCTGGGGGGCAGGGAGCATCATGTTGGCCCAGTCAGATGAGGAGTCCAGGGCAGCTCCCCAGCCCAGCACATTCAGGGGCTCCCCAGGGCTTCCTCCCGCCCAGAAAAGCCCCTGGAGGGACCCAGGGGCTGAAAGTCCTGGGGTCTTATGGGTTCTTACAAGCAGAGGCTGACACCCAGAATCCCAAGAACAGCTGGGGCCTTGTTTTTTGTCTTAACCCCCCCCCCCCGATACTCTGGGACAGGCTGGGGGACCAGTCCCTGCTGGAGCATCTGTCCCAACCTCAGAGTAGGACTCCCCCCAGAACAGCATCGCCCTGGCAGGGTTGGGACTTTCTGGGTGAGGTGCTGGGAGCCCACCCACTGTCCACAACATTCGGAGACTGGAAAGCTGCCCAGGAGCAGGGGCCCAGGGACCCCTGCCCCTCCCCGGGTGGCTGGCAACTTTGCTGAGCTAGGTGTGTCTCTAAAGGACAGGGGTCCCCGTGGTGATGGGCAGGGTCTCCTCCCAGGTGGTACCTCCCGGCTTTGCATTACGTGGGTCCTGCGGGAATGGGTGTCTGGGTCCTGGGTGGGGCAGGCAGCCTACAGACCAGGTGTGGGTGGTGGCCCCCTCCTGTCCCCGTGGAGCCCTTGCACAAGGGACCTGGGAATTGGAGCTCTCAGCTCAGATCTCGGCTCTGTCCCCATGCCCTGTGAGCCCTGAACCACTGCTTGGCAGGCCCATGATGGATGGGCAGTGGGTAGGGGGTAGGTGGGCTGGGCACCCAGACCCGGTGGGCCCCCGCTGACCACGTGGCCCTCCATCTGCCCCATGAACAGCCTGGATGTCCGACGAGTGGACGCCTTCTGGCTGCAGCCCGAGGCACTGCACACTGGCCTGAGGTCCCCCACCCCCATTGGCCTGGTTTGAGGTCCCCCACCCCCAGCTGCTTGGGGCTGCCCCACCCTGGCCCCCCATTGGCTGCCTGCACCATCGGCAGGGCCCCCTCCTGCCAGCCACTCTCCTGAAGACACTGCCTCAAAGTCACTGTGACCTCTTAGGGCCGAATCCAGCTGCCGCTCTCCGGCCTCTGCCCTGGGCTCCGCTGCGTCCGCGTGGCTGTGAGTCTCCATCCCCAGCGGCCGCCCATCCTCACGACTCCTCCCCGCCCCCAGGGAGCCCAGAGGTGCGCTCCCCACGCAGCCGGTTGTGAGCGCCTTCGAGTGCTCATGACTCCCTGGTTATTTTTACATCCAGCTGCTGCTCAGGCTGTCCAGTGCCCTGCAGGCGGCTCCGGCATGCGTCAGGGCAGCACCCCACCCCTGCCCCCCCCACCTGGCCCCAGCATCCCCTCCCTCCTCCTTTCCTTCATCCCTCATCCCTCACTCCCCCCACCCAGCAGGTCCCGTGGGCCAGGCTCCCTCTGCGTTGCCGTGGCGGCTGCAGGCTGGCCTGGGCCAGCAGCACCTCTTCCCCGACAGCCACAGCTGCAGCCTCCACCATTACCCGTGTCCATGGCCCTTCTCTGAGCACAGCCAGGCCCCTTGACTCAGAGCCCCCGGGCACTCTGGCCCAGTGGGATGAGGCTCTTGGTGGACCCCCAGGCCCACCTGACCTGAACTCCTGACCTGGGACCACTCTCCTTCCCCCTCTGCCAGCCCAGCCCTCGGGCCCCCAGCCCCTGGGCCTTTGCACTGGCTGTTCCCACTAGCACAGTGCTGTTCCCTGCCAGGCTGGCTCCTCACATCTCCCGGAAGGTGGACATCCAAGTCTGTCTCTGACCCTGCCCTCAGGCACAGCCCCTCCCGGTCACCAGTGCCTGTCCCCACTGCCCAAGTCATGCTTCCTCAAGGCTTCTCCTCTGTCGTCCCACTGCAGAGTCTGACTGCCAGGCTGTGTCCCCCAGGTCCCAGGCTGCCCATGAGCAGAGTGAGGGCAGTGGGGGGAGCTGTGGGGCAGAGCCAGAAGTGGGGGCCCCAAGATGCCCAGCAAGGGGGTCTTCCTGCAGTCCTCAGAGGGTGCTGGACCCTATGCAGGACATTCGCCTTTCTTTCCTCCCTCCCTGCAGAGCTGGGGCAGGCCGAGCCTGGGGGGTGGTAACAAGCGGTCCAGCTGCATCCTTCCGGGGGTCAGGGACCCAAGGCTGCCCCCCAGGTGCTGGCCGAGGCTCCCTGCTGGTCCCACCATGCTCACTGTGGTGTGGCCAGGCCGGCTAGGTCAGCGCCTCGACCCAGGGGAGGGCACGCCCACTCTGCAAATGCCCAGCAGAGGCTCCGTGAGCCGAGGACGGCGCGGCTGGACCTGGTGCGGGCGCGTGCATGGAGTGCTCGCCGCCCGAGTGTCTCCTTGCCCCCTCTCATCATTGTCCCCTAGGCCTCCTTTCTCCGTGATGACCCCAGTCCCCTGCAGCCCTCCCTCAGGCCCCATGGACACGCTGTCCCCCAAGCCCCGGCCGGCTGCAGCTGCCTGTGCCCTTCGGCCCCAGGCTGCTGCTGTGAGCAGGGTGGCCAGTCCCTCTCGGGGCCCAGTGTCTGCCCCGAGACAGCTGGGCAGCGTGGCCTCTGCCCTGCCCAGGAGAGCCTGCCCAGGGCCCAGTCCCGAGGGGCTTCCTGGCTGGAGGTGCCACCCTGTGTTCCCAGCCTCCCAGGGTCCTCACGCAGCAAGCACCCTCTTCCCCGCAGGTCTCTGGCCCCTGACTGAAAACTTCCATTTCCCCGCCACCAGGTCCTAGAGCAGCTTTGCACTAAAAAGCATCCCCAGAATAGCTTTAAAAAATAGGGCCCATTTACTGCCCGAGGTGATGGAGAAGGGACAGTGCTGGCCCAGCTGTGGGATCCAGGGCCTCTGCAGACCTGCGTCCTGAGCTTTCCCATGGTGTCCCGCTCCTCCATGCGTCCTGTCAGCCCCGACCCTGCGCCCTCACCGCAGACTGGGCCTGGGGCAGGGGTTGTGCTCCGAGCAGGATTTTCCTGGGGCCACACGAACCCAGGGGAAGCCCACTGGGAACACACCCCCAGCCCCAGCTCGCCAAGCAGCTGCTTGCTCTGCTGGCGGTAACAAGGACAGAGACCCTGCAGCTGTGGAAGAGACAGGGGCCTGTGTGGACTTGGCAGCAGCCCCCGGACTGGAGACCCAGAGGCCCGGGTGGGATGGGGACCCGGGCCCTGGGCAGGCTCTACGCACCCCCTGAGCCACTCACCCCACATCCTGCAGTCCCTGCTAGTGTGACCTCCTGGGCCGAAGGGTGGGGCCCGGTGACGTGCTGGCCGGGGGCAGGCCAGCCGCGAAGTGTTTGGGGTTCTCTGTCTTCGTGGGCCATGCAGGGTTGGGGTGACATTCTGTGCTTGAGGAGATGGCTGGGTGATGTGCTCGGGGCCGGACCTCGAACCCGGGACTCTCTGGGGCGGGGGGGTTCTGGGGCTCCGGGCGGCAGTCGCGCTGGCCTGCACCCCTGACAGCCTGCGCCTGTCCGGCCCGCGCCCCCAGACTGCCTGCTGATGCTGGTCTACAAGGACCGGTCGGAGCGCGCCCGGGGCCTGCCGGAGCGCAGCAGCCAGACGCTGGAGCGCATCTGCGGCCTGGAGCCGGGGCTGCCCTACGAGGGCCTGGCCCACACGCTGGCGGTCCTCTGCCTGCCACAGGCGGTCATGCTGGGCTTCGACAGCCGGGAGGCCATGTGCGCCTGGGACGCCCGGATCCGCTGCGCGCTCGGCGAGGGTGAGTGGTGCCAGGTGCCACCTGGCGGGGGGGGGGTGTCCCAGGGCCCCACCCACAGGGGGCTGCAGAGGCCGAGACACAACTCCAGGCCACTGAGTCAGAATCGCTCTGCTCCGCCTCCTGGCTCTGCTGAGGCTGGGTGGGGGTGGGGGGAACACTGGGGCCTTTTCCCACGCCCAGATTGACCCGGTCAATTAGAACGAGGGCCTTCAACCTGAGGGCAGGGACTTCTGAACAGTGGGACCTTCCCTCGGCTGTCCGCCGGAGCCCCGGGCCAGGGCCAGGAGCAGCTGTCGCAGGGTCGGGGTGCCGGCGGGGGGGCCAAGGAGGGGAGGGAGAGGGTGCAGCCTCACTGCCCTCACCCCGTTCCACTGGGAACAGCAGCCCCCTGCCCCACCTGGAGCCCCCAGGCGGGGGCCTGGCGAGAGGACATGGGGGAGGGGTCTCCTGCTGGGGCTTCCTGCCAGCTCACCAGGCTCAGAGCCCCGACCCTTTTTTGTCTCATGGGCTGGGGTGGGGTCTCCGTGCGCTGCCCCCTTCGGGCCCTGGGGCTCTGAGGAGGGGGCGGGTTGGAGATGGGGGGTCAGGAAGGCTGGCTGCCCCCACTCACTCTGGGAGCCGGTCACCCCAGGTGTGCTTTCCGAGGTGGGACCATCTGGGGACACAGGTCACAGTGGCTTCTTTGTAGGGGCTGCATGGGCCGAGGGCCAGGCTGAGACAGAGGCTTGGCTTCCAGAGCAAGTGGGCTGTGCTGGGCCCCGGGGGGACCCCTGACGGAGGTGGGGGTCCATGGTTTCTGGAGCGCCCCTGTAGCTGGGCCGGACTGTGAGGCGGACCCCAGACGCTTGGCACGCTGGCCGTGAGCTGGGCCTACCCGAACCTCAGTTTCCCCATCTGTGAGACCCGGCCATGCAGCTGCCACGGTGGCCGTTCCTGAGGGGAGGTGCTCTATGCGTAGGGACCCTGTGCAGGCTGCCCTCGGTCACCAGGGCTCGTCAGGGTCTCATCCAGCTGTAGGGAGGTGAAGCGTGGCCTGGGCAGCCCCTCTGCGGACCAGCCCGCCCTCAAAGCACAGGTGCGGCAGGACCGCCGCTGGGGCCTGGGTGACCCGGATGCCTGGTGACCGGGCCCTCTCGCCCTGCCTGGCTTTCAGTGCACAGGTTCCATGTGACGGTGGCCCCAGGCACCAAGCTGGAGAGTGGCCCTGCCACTCTCCACCTCTGCAATGATATCCTCGTGGTGGCCCGAGACGTCCCTCCTGTCGTCACGGGCCAGTGGAAGCTGTCCGACCTCCGGCGCTACGGGGCCGTGCCCAACGGGTTCATCTTTGAAGGCGGGACCAGGTGTGGGTACTGTAAGTACGCGGCCGCGGGAACCCCGGGCACAGGCGCTCCCGCTTTGCTGGTGTCCAGGGATGCGGCGTGGGAGCTGTCTCTCCAAACGGGTGCTGGGTTCAAGTCCAGACCTCCGGTGCTCCCCCTGGGGGCGAGGGCTCCCAGCCAGGGGAGGGCAAGGGGCGGGCCGGGCAGGAAGCTGTGCAGAAGGCCCCTGAGGTCTCTGAGCGAGGCTTCTAGTCACAATTGTGCCCTGCGTCGGGGGCACCGGACAGGCGTCAGAGCCGTTCGAGTTCTGGTTTCATGAAAACAAACATACAAAAAGAGTAAACGTGAATGTGAGGACGTTCGTTGAAACGTGTCCATGTGCCGGGCCGAAGGACTCCCTTGGACGCCGGGTCCTGGCCTGTGCGCACCTCACACCCAGGGCTGGAGGGCAGCAGGAGGCGAGATCCAACAGGGCATGAGGCCCGGCCACCTGCGGGAGTGGAGGACGGGCCTTGGAAGCGCAGGGGCAGGTCGCACGGGTCGGGCGGGGGCGCTGTTCCACCGCCGCGCCCGCTGCTCTGCTCTCCTTTCGAGATGCGCACACCGCCTGGCTGACACAGGTGGGGCTCGGTGGGAGCCGGTCCCTGGGCCCACCCTGTGCGCCCCATCTCCGTTCAGCTGAGGACCCCCTGGCAGTCTGGGGTCATTGCCCCGCCCTCACACGCGGTGGAGAAGGAGGCTGAGCTGCCCGCAACCTCACTCTGCCTCCCCTGCTGCGGCGGCCTCTAGTGGGAACCAAGAGGGCGAGGAGTTAGCCCAGGGGCTGCTCGCTCTCCCTGCCCCGGCGACGCACGGGGTCTGCTGGCCCTACCTCGTTCCTCTGGGCGGAGCCAATGCATTTGAAGACTGGGGCGTGGCGGCCTGCGCCGCTGCACGTGGCAGGATACCTGCTGTGTTTGCCCCAGGGGTTATGCGATAGGGCCCGCTAGGTAGTTGGGTAGTTCTTCCAGACCTCGGAGTTCGCTCCTTTTCCCCGCGTGCGCAGTTGCAGTTTTTTTGTTAAGTTTTAGAGGGAGGGAAAGGGAAGGGAAGGAGAAGGGAAGGGAAGGGAAGGGAAGGGAAGGGAAGGGAAGGGAAGGGAAGGGAAGGGAAGGGAAGGGAAGGGAAGGGAAGGGAAGGGAAGGGAAGGGAGGAAGGGAAGGGAAGGGAAGGGAAGGGAAGGGAAGGGAAGGGAAGGGAAGGGAAGGGAAGGGAAGGGAAGGGAAGGGAAGGGAAGGGAAGGGAAGGGGAAAGAGAGAAACCTCAATACTCTGTTGCCTCTTGTGCGCCCCCTGCTGGGGGCCCGACCTGGACTACAACCCAGTCATGTGCCCTGACTGGAAATCAAACCCACAACCCTTTGGCTGGAAGGCCGGCACTCCGCCCACTGAGCCACAGCAGCCAGGGCTCAGTGGGCTTTGAAGCCAGCGCAGGGTGAAGCCCGAGGGGGAGCCTGGCTCGCTTGCGCTTTGAGTGCACTGTCTCTCCCGCCATGAGGAGCCCTCTGGTGCCTCTTCTAGAGGCTGTAGTCCGAAAGCTGAAGCCCTGTCCCTGACCCAGGAACTGGGGGGAGGTGGAAGGGAGTGATCGGTGGCTTCCCTGGGCCAGGCCCCGGGTGCAGGGCTGGGGCACCAGGTCTTCAGTCCTCGGAGGCCTGGAGGCGGCTGGTGAGCAGGGCTGGAGGAGGGAGAAGACCGCTCCAGGGACCTGCTGGCATGGACTGTGACCCATGCGGGTGCAGGGACCCTGGCGGACGGGGGAGGCTGAGGAGCAGGAAGCTGTGAAAAGTGGCGGCGAACAGGCCAGACGGCCCCTTTCTGAGGGGTGGTGGTTGGCTTCACGCTTGTGCTCTGAGGTTTGCACTCCGGGCCTGGAGACCAAAGTTGCACAGGGCCACCAGCCAGGGAGAGACAGGACAGGACAAGTCCTGTGGGGGTCCCATGTTACTGGGGTTCAGAGTGCTTGTGCAGCCCCATGAGCTCTGTGCATCACCCCCATTTTACAGATGAGGGAAATGAGGCAGAGAGCCACCCAGACTTGCCCGTCTGAGCGTGGTGGAGTGGCCATCTGCAGGGGGGCCTGTCCGCACAGGGGGGAGGGGAGCGGAGGCCATGCAGACCACACCCGGCTCCCAGAAGCCTTCTTTCCTCTGGGGCATCTGCTGGTCTGTTCCCTCCCCAGCAGATGCAGCCCGAGGGGCCCCCAAGCTGTCCCCCGCACTGTGGCCCCATGAGGGACCCTCTGGACGTGCCAAGCTGAATGGGGGCCTCATCTCTTCCCCAGATTCGAGGAGCTCGGTCCTGGGAGTGAAGCCCCATTCTCCCCGGACCCCAGGGATGGGTGTCACTGTGCCTTAGTGTGGGTGCTGGAGCACCCAGCCTCGTGTGCGTGGTGCCTGCTCCCCAGCACCAGCACACCCCTTGCCCTAGCCCGTACTCCTAGGATGAGGGGAAGCCCTGCCCCTCAGGCTGCCCCCAGGTCCAGGAGAGACGCATCCTCGGGGCCCGAGGGCAGTGCGGGGCTCCAGCCCACGGGGGGCTGGCAAGAGGTCAGGGAGCCGTGTCCTGGGCAGCCCCACCTCCAGGCCCAGGCAGTCCGGTCCTCTGAGCCGGGTGCCCCCCCAGGGAGCTGCTGTCAGCTGGGTGGGCGCTGTGGCCATGTCCCCGGACCTCACCAACCGCCACATCATCAGGAGCGTGACGCTCAGCAGACGCCCCTGTGGAATGCCGCCGGCTCCAGTCCCCTCGTAATGTGGTTTTTTATAGTCGAGGGACTGCCTGTGCCCAGGCCTCTGCCAGGTGCCTGGGGATTAGAGGCCTGGCCCTGTGAGGGCGGGGCGGGGCCGCGGCTGGCCGGGCGCTGCATGTGGGGCAGTGGCCGTGTGACAGGCCTCCCCCTGGCCTGCTGTCCGGCCGAGGGGGGGTGGTGCTCTGCCAGCACACCCTGGCTAGGAGGGCCGCCCGCCAGGCCTCCTGGGTGTCCCTGGTGGGGTCCCAGCTCAAGTCCACGTCAGGGCCCCTCTCTGGGCCCCAGTTTCTTCGTCTCTGTAGCAGTTGGGTCAGCGTTTGGGGTGTTGTGTGGCTCAAGCTCCACCCACTGAAGGGTGTGCACTGCTCTTGCATCTGGGGTGCTACCGAGGGGCACAGTGGTGTTACCGGGGTGGTGGGAGGAGCCAGCCCCCTGGACCTGTGAGGCTGGAGACTCTGGTGGCGGCAGAGGCTCTGGCGTGGAGCGTCCTGTCCCACGGTGTGCAGGGGCCGTCCCCTGGGGAGCCTTTCTCTGGGCACCAGGCCTAGGGCAAGAGCTGAGGGCATCCCTGGGTGGGGAGGCCGGGCCACCAGTCCAGCCCCATGTGACCCGGCGTCCCCATTCACGCTCCATGAGGGATTTCATTCACCCCGGCGGGGCCGAGGGCCCAGCAGCAGGGCAGTGGGGCTCCCTGCCAGCCCACCCGGCCTGTCCTCTGCCCTGGCACCCCTTGGCGTGCAGACCCCAGGTGCCCACTGAGCCCCTTCCTCCACTGGGAGGGAGTCCCAGGGTGTGACCTCAGCTCGCACCCTGACCCCCGGGGCTCGTTTCCCACCTGAAAACACTGGGGGCGGGGACACGGGCTGGCCTTAGGAGGGTGGCCGCTGTCTCAGTGGCACCGCAGGTGGGTGTGGAGTCCCCGTCAGGGTGACGGTCTCACGGCCACCCTCCGGGGCGGGGGGGGGACCCACTCTGGGCTGCCCTGCTTCCTGTCCCTAAGTGAACTCGGAGGTGGGAGGGGCCAGGCTGAGGGGCTGCCCCCCCGCAGGGGCCGGCGTCTTCTTCCTGTCCTCAGCAGAGGGCGAGCGGATCAGCTTCCTGTTCGACTGCATCGTTCGGGGCGTCTCCCCAACCAAGGGCCCCTTCGGGCTGCGGCCGCTTCTCCCAGGTGCGTGGGGAGGGTGGCCTGGCAGGGGTCCCTCCATGTCTGCCCCGCTGGGCTCCCGGGGACACCGGCCTTCCTCCACAAGCCTGAGCTGTTGGGACGGTTGTGCGAGTCAGAAGGGGTCAGCCTGGTGGGTGTCAGCCAGAGACCCCAGCCCCACGCAGGGCTCCTGCAGACCTTCTGAGCAGCTCTGGCCCCCAGACTGGCACGGGGGGGTGAGCCTGAGGTCACAGGGACAGGGGCTGCTGGGGGTGTGCCTCATCTTGCCCCCTTTCCTGCCTGTGGCCCCTGGCTGTCTACCAGTGGCTGGCGTGGCAGCGCCCTCTGCTGGCGCTGTCCCTCCTTGCAACCCAGTGTGGCACGGTTGGAGGGTGCGGACAGTGGGCCCGGGGCGAGGGAGGGATACCGGCGGCTCGGGCCTGGGTTGGGGACACACCAGGGTGGCCCTACAGTGCTGGGCTCGCCATGACATCTCAGGTAGCATGGGGGCTGTGGCTGAGGGGCTGCCAGGAGGGGGCTGGGTCTGCCTCCCGCGATTCCTCTCTGCTGCAGACCCCAGCCCCGGGGGACCCGCCGCGGCGGAGGAGCGAGTGGCCCAGGAAGCCCTGGAAGCGCTGCAGCTGGAGAAGCGGCTGAGCCTCCTCTCCCACCTCGGCCGGCCCGGCAGTGGAGGTGGGGCCTGGCAGGCGGTGGGGGCCGGGCTCGGGTGGGGCTGGGGGCTGCCCTCCAGGCCTTGGTTCCCTCAGTCCTCTCCATCCTGCTCACTTGCTCTTCCCAGATGGGTGAAGCCAGGGACACTGGGTGCTGGTCTGGGCGGGGCAGGAGGGACGGGGGTCTTCCCACCCACCGAATGAGGCCGCTGCCCCTGAGTGGGCTCCCCCAGACACAAAGGCCCAGGGTGCAGTTTGGTGCTGGCTCTGGCCTGGGGTGGGGGGAATGGAGATGGGAGACGTGATAGACGTCAGCCCCCCTGGGCCCTCCCCAGCCCCGGGTTCCCCCTGCCGCCTCAGCGCCCGCTGTCCACCCCAGGGGACGACCGCAGCCTGTCCAGCTCGTCGTCAGAAGCCAGCCACTCGGACGTCAGTGCCAGCAGCCGGCTCGCCGCATGGCCAGAGCAGTCCTCGTCCTCGGCCAGCACCTCGCAGGAGGGGCCGGGGCTGGCGGCGGCCCAGGCCCCGGGGGAGGCCGTGCCGGGCGCTTCACGGCTGCCCCCCGAGGCACCCAGGCCACGGCAGCTGCGGGAGGTGGGCCGCCAGAGCTCCTCAGACAGCGGCATCGCCACGGGCAGCCACTCCTCCTACTCTGGCAGCTTCTCGTCCTGCGCCGGGAGCAGCCTGGACGTGTGGCGGGGTGGCGAGGAGCTCGGCTCGCTGCTCAGCCTGCCGCAGGCTGCGGGGGCGCCCGAGCCCAGCCTGTGCGCCTGCCCGCCCGGGACCACGGAGTACCAGGTGCCCAGCGGCCTGCGGCCCCATTACGACACGCCCCGCAGCCTTCGCCCGGCTCCCAGGGACCAGACCCCCGCTGCCCAGGGCGGCCCCGACGGCAGTGCAGCTGGGGACCCCGGCGGCCAGACGCCCGCGGGCTGTCCCTCCGGTGTGAGGCGGCGGGGACAGGAGGCGGAGGCCCCAGGCAGCGAGGCCACCCGTGCACCCTGGGAAGCAGGTGGCCCCCACGTGGGGCCCCCTCCAGCCTTCTTTTCCACGTGCCCGGCCTGCGGAGGGCTCAAGGTAAACCCGCCTCCTTGAGGGCAGGTGGGCCCCTCCTTATAGGTGAGAAGGGGCGCCAGCCTGCAGAGGGGCGTTTGGTGATACCGGCAACAGTGTGGCTTAGCGGAAGGTGGCGGCGGGGCGCCCCCTGAAGGCCAGCCCTCCGGGGAGTGGAGCCTGCAGAGAGGGCTCTGGGGCTGCCAGTGGACCGAAGGATCTGGGGGGCCGGACCTGGGTGCAGCTGGAGGCGCCTTCTGTTAGGTGGCGGCTCTGGGCAGGCAGGTGGGTCCGCAGAGCCCCTGGCCCAGGAGCAGGTGCCGGGCCCCCGCCGGGCCCCTGCTGGGCCTGGGTGTGCTCAGGACCCATAGGCTCCCCCCCACCCTGCCCACCACCTGCCTGTGGCCCGACGACCCCTCCCCCTCAGCCCGGGTCCTGCTCCGGAGGCCACCCGGCCTCGCTGCCCCTAGACATTCAGTCCCCCCACAGCAGCTCCACGCCCCCGAGTCCTGGGGACTGTGGGCCAAGACGGACCACCTTTCCCGGCTCCGTGTGTAGGATGGGGGGCTGCTTGTCCCCCCATCCTCCTCAACCCACACCCACTGGCCTGTCCTGTGGAGAGGAAACTGAGGCTCAGGAGGCCCAGGGACTTGTGGGGGTGGGTCTCATGCCCGGGGGACTGCCCTCCCAGCCCAGCCGACCCAGCCTTTTCCCGGGAGGGGCTGAGACTGCCTTCCGAGTGGCTGGTGGGGCAGGAGGCCCAGCTGCAAAAGGGCTGGAAGGCTGGGGGTCAGAAGCAGAGGGTGCCTGGCTCCTTCTTGGGGCTGCCCCTTTGCGCCCGCCGAGGCCCCCGCCAGCGCCCTCCGAGGCCTGCCTGCTCGCCTGCACGGAGTGCTACCACGGGCCTGGTGCTGTGTGTCCGCGCTGGTGTCTCAGAGGCGGCGTGAGCGGTGTGACCGGTGTCCGTCGGCCCCGGACTCTGGGTGGCTTTGCCCCGTCTGGGTGAGCAGCTCACCTGTCCCGATTTGTCCCTCCACTGCTGCCTGAAGGCGTTTGTGGTTTTTACACTGTTAGGATCTGACCATTTGTAATAAATCCTTAGACTGGAAATAAAACGTTCTTTTCTTATCACCTCGTCCTTTTCCGTGTGGCCCCTCGCCCAGCCCTCCCTGTGGGTGAGGCTGAAGTCCGCGCAAGGCCTGGCTCGTCGGCCTACAGCCTTGGCCTGCGGGGCGATGACAGCTGTGGGCCGCAGATGGCCCAGGGCTGGCGTGTGCTCGTGACCTTGAGGACATGCATGTGTGTGTGTGTACGCATGCGTGCTGTGTGGCGTGTCCAGTGCATGCACGCAGGTGTGGTCTGTGTAATGTGTGCACACGTGGCGTGTTCTTGAGCGTTCACTGGGGACTTCGGTGAGGTCCTCGGTGGCTCCTGGGGCTCAGGAAGGTGGCTTCCAGTGTCCAGGTGTGGTGGACACTTGCTCCAGGCCCGTGAGGGTGCTGGCTCGGAGCCAGGCGGCCCTCTCTGCCGTCCACCCCGCAGGTGGCGAGGCTCCAGGGACCCCTCAGTCTTCCCTGCACGCCCTGGGGGCCGTGCCCGTCCTGGTGCCCTGTCTGCAGCCCCTGGGTGACCCCTGCATCACTGCCAGTGGGAAAGGCAGGCTTGGGGGCCACCGGGGCCACCTGCGGGCTGGGTGGCCCTAGCAAGTCACGCCACCAATCTGAGCCTCAGTTTCCTCTCCCGCAGATGGGCCCACGGAGAGGGTCCACCGAGGTGACACAAGTCAGGGCCCCACGCGGGCCTGTTAGTGAGTCGGTGTCATACACACGGCCATCACCGCCTCCCCCAGGAGGGTCTGGCCAGCCTCACAGGGAACAGACAGGGCTGAGAGCTGGGTGGAGGGGGGGGTGGTGACCCTGGAGAGCTGGGAGAGTGGAAGGGGCAGGCGTCCCTCCCACCAGAACCATCTGAGTTGAGTGACTTGCCCACCCTAGGAAGCCAGGGAGGGCGGAGCTGTGCCTTCCGCTCGCCCCGCCCTGTGGACCAGGCAGATGGCCGGGACTCCAGGGAGGGGCCGTCTGGGGGCTGAGGTGGGAGGGTGGACTCAGGCGAGTGTGGAGCTGGGTGGCCGGAGCCTCCCACCCTCAGTCCACGGCAGGAGGCGGCGCCCCAGGAGCAGGTGGGCGGGGCCGGGCCGTGGACCTCCAGGCTTCATCTGGGGAGGAAGGGGCCCTCCACGGGAGCGGACACTGCAGACCGTTGAGGGCTCCTAGAGGCCATGGCCTCTTGTGTGGGGGGTCCTTCAGGTGCCCGAAGCCTCCCGCAGAGTGCGGAGCTGGGCGTGGCCTGAGCAGGCAGCCGGGGCCCTGCGTCTGCGCATTTCCACACCTGTGGTGTCCGCACCTGTGGGGCTGGCTCCAGAAGCAGGTGCCTGCCGTCTGTGGGGTGGGGGGCTCCGAGGGCAGGGGGAGCCCGTGAGAACTGGGGGCTGGTGTGCAACGGCCTGGCGCCCAGAGGGCGTTGGCCTCTTGTCCTGGGTGTTGAAGGTCAGCGTGTCCCGGCCAAGGCCCCAGGGCACACGGAGGCCCCCTCACACAGGTGATGGGTATGAGCAGTCCCTTGCTCAGCAGGCCGGCCCAGGCCTGGGGCGGGGCGCTTCTCCCAAGTCTGGCAGTGCCTGGGCCCTGGGGTCAGTATAGGTGCCGGCCATGGGCCACTGTCCCTCGCTCCATCCCAATTGCTGGCATCAGTGTCCCCAGCTCTGAGGCCACCGAAGTCCCTTCCTCGGCTCTCTCAGGACCTGGGAGAGGCCCCTGGTCAGGCCACTCTGCTGCCCAGGGAGTGTGCGCCACAGCCTTGGCCGTCCCAGTGAAGCAGGTGGCCTGGCCATGAGCCAGCAAAACCCCTTCCAGCGCAGGCCAGGCCTGCGCTGCGTTCCCGGGCCCTCGCCCAGGCAGGGTCCGGCAGGGCAGGGCTCAGGGACAGGTGTGAGTGCTCAGGCACATGGTGCAGGGCCCTGGCCTCAGCCAGGTGCAGGGGGGCCGATGGGTGGCCGGCTGACCAAGCTCTCTCTGGTCTAGGGAGCAGCGGCCTCACCTCCTGGGCTCCCAGCACCTTCAGGTAGGCTTGGCTTCAGGACCAGCTCCTGTACTGAGGCGGGGGAGGTAGGTGGGGGTCCCAGTGGCCTGGGAGACAGCCCAGCCAGGAAACCTGCACCAGAGAGGGTTGCGCGCTCCCACCAGGCCCCGGGGGCGGGCGGGGGCAAGCAGGGGCGATGCTGGGACTGGCGCCTGGTCCCCTTTGCAAGGGTCCTGCCCCCACCCAGGGGTTGGCGGGGGCCTGCTGCGGGGTCCCACCCTGAACCCCACTGAGCGGTTCCTGGGATGGGAGGGGAGTTGACACGCCGGGGGACACTGAGAAGGGGACGGCACTGGGATGAGCGTAGCCCCGCACTTAGGCCAGTGGTCTCCGTAAACCTGGAGCAGGTGGAGTGACCTGGCGCAGCAGTGGGGAGGGCTGGGGCGTCCTGCCTGGGAGGGGCAGGGCGCTGGGGACCTGACGAGAGAGTGGCTGGGAGGGGTGGTCGCGGTCGGTGGCCCGCAGCAGGGCCGAAGGCAGAAGAGTGTGGGCCCGGGGGTTGCCCGCGGCAGTGGGAAAGACTTGTGCTCGGTGGCGGTGGCTGGGTCTCAGGATGGACTGAGGCAGCCCAGGGAGACGGAGGCGGCCCCCAGACCCTGCAGGAGGGAGTGGGTAGGGAGTGCTTGCTGCACGGCCCTGGGGGTCAGCGGGGCCCCCAGCCACCCCCCCGAGACTCACGGCCCCATCATCACAGGAACCCCAGGGCCTGAGAGGCCCAGCATGGAGGCGCCCACCTACGCGAACATCCCCGCCAGCCCCTCCCCCAGGATGCAGCTGCACTACCTGGGCCTGGGGCTCCCGGAGGCCGGTGCGGGCGTCCGAGGTGGGTCCCCGCATAGCCCATGGGGGTGGGCACCTTGGGGGCCACAGCCCCACCCAGGACCTCCCCTCAGGTGTGGGCGACTCGGGCGGGCCCCCAGCCCCCTGTGCAGGCCGAGGCCTCTGCAGAAGAGTGGGCTCCCCAGGATCACTCAGGCCTGCTCACCTGGGGCTGCTTTCAGGGGAAGGAGCCGCCCGCTATGCCCAGATCGACCTGGCGGCCACTGCCGCAGCCCACAGGGCGGGGACGCAGCACGCACAGGCCCGAGAGGAGCGGCTGGCCGAGCTGGAGCCCAGGAGGAAAGGAGCCCCTCGCTGAGCGGCCCTCGCTCCCACAGCCGACAGCCACGTGGCTGAGTGGTGGTGGCTGGCCAGCAAGGCAGCCTCCCGGGAGCTGCATCCCCAGGGGTCTGGATCTGTGGCTCGTGCCCAGCTTCCTGGCCGCAGGAGGCCGGGGCCATGGCTGGTTCCCAGTGCCCACGGCTGCCCCCTCCTTTTGTCGGGCGGTGGCGTGGCCCCGGGGTGCACACTGCCCTGCCCTCCCCTCGGTGGTGGCGCCCAATGGACACGCGTACCCAAGCTGCAGGCAGCAGAGCGTCCTGCAGCAGCAGGGTCAGGCCTCCAGCTGTTGTCTGCCTGTCCGAGCCTGCACACGCACTTACTGACCACACCACTCCCCGGGACACGTTCGTGGGTCACGCAAACAGTTCTGATGGTCGGTGTTCTGTTTGTAACGCGGCCCCATCTCCCCCAGAAGGACCAGCTGCATGCTTCTCGGTGCAGTGGCCCTGGACAGTCTGCCCATCTCGCCATGGCCATGGGTACGGGACCAACTCAGCCCCACGTTTCCTCCCAACGGTGCCTGTGGCTTCGGGGCAGTCGAGCAGCCCTTCCGTTACTTCGGGAGCCAGGATGCTGAATTCTGGGGGCAGGGAGAGGCAGTGGGCTCCTTGCCGTTTCTCCTGGGCACGGGGGGGCAGCTTGGGCAGGTCCCCCCTCCCTGCCCACCAGTGAGCCCGTGGGAGCTGCCCCCGGGGCGTGCAGGTGGCTGACCCTCGTGTTCCCTGCTCAGCTGTCTGTAGGACACCAGCCTCCCGCACCACCTTGAGCTGGGGGTCAAGGGGGCGCGGCAGGCTCAGCCCTGAGCCCGGAGGTGGGGTGGGGGGCCCTGGGGCTCTGCCCCCACCCTGGACACGATTGGAAGGCACAGGGCTCTCTTTCAAAGCTGCGAGCAGGGGCGAGGCGTGGCCAACATGCCCCGGCCCGGTGCTCCGGCGTGCTGGGGCCCCTCGGGTGGGGGGCTCAGACGCCCACACTACACCCTGAGCAGCTCGGGAAAGGGGGCGTGACCGCTGAGTCAGCAGACTTTGGGGAGGCACGCCGTCAACTTCAGGCCCGTTACTTTGACAAGAACGAAATTCCGTTACAGATATTATTTTTAAAATAAAGACAGAAGAATCAGAAATTATAAACAACCTGTATCTATTTTTAAACTTGCGTTCTTGACCCAAAGGCTCAGCACGAGGGAGATTCCAGGCCTGCGCAGTGCCACCTGTAGGGCGGAAGCGGCGAGGCAGGACTGTGGCAGGCGGGGGCGCCCCCACCCCTGCCGCCCCATCTGGGGGGGAAGGGCGGGGGCTGCTGTGCGGCTTGCGAGGATGGAGGCGACATGGGACCAGAGGGCACAGGGCGTGTGGACCCTGCAGGAGATGAACCAGAGACAGAACGAAACCCGCCGCCCATGGCCACACACCTGGGTGGAGGGACCGACGCCCCAACCTCGAGCCGGGGAGACCCAGGGTTGCCAGCAGTCGGCTCTGCTCAAGGGACCGGCCGTCCGAGGCAGCCCTGCAGAACACCCAGGGGGTGGGGGGCTCTCCTGTCCAAAGGCAGTGACCGACCCCAAGAGCTACATGGAGACCCAAAGGAGCCCGTCCGCGGGGAGGAGCAGGCTCCCTGCTCTGACTCTTGGCAGCAACGCCACGCCCCCACCTGTGCGCTCCTGTCGCCTCCCCGGGGCACCAGCCCCACCCAGGGCCAGAGAGAAGAAAGTCTGCAGGACGAGGCGGCAGGGAAACGAACCTGCCACCCACCCAGACCTAGAGGTCAGCAGAAGCCCAGGTCTGCGCCGAGACCCCGCCTCGGGCACCAGCCCCAGCCCGCCCCCACTCACGGCACCCGAGCACACAAACCCTAACAGGCTTGGCCTTTGTCCCCTAGATGAGTGTGCATGCGCTTCACGGCCCCTCCAGGTTCAAACCCAGGAGCTGGGTCGGCCGCCCCAGGCCAGCCACTTGTGTGGTCACAGCCCTGTCCTGGGTGACGGTCGGCACTCCCGTCAGATGGGACTCGCAGGCTTCTTGAGGCAGGGTGGGCAGGAAAACGCCCACTGAGCCAGCCCGAGCACTGAGCCCATCAGGAGTGTGGGGGAGGCGGGGGGCCTTTCAGGCGGCCAGGGACCCAGAGTCGCAGACCATGCCTGGGACCGAGCTGCCATGGGCTCTGAGGCCCAGCCGCAGAGACAGGACAAGGCAGAGACGGGGTGGGACGAGGCAGTCGAGGGAGGCACCGGGTCGCTGACGACGAATTAAACGTGGGGACTGCTCAGGATTTCAGGGCGTGGCACCTGCAGCAGCACGTTCTGGCCGCGCAGTCTCCCCGGGTCCCATCGCGGAGACGCCCCTGGCGGCGCGGCCCGGGCATCAGAGCTCGTTGTGCCGTGCTCTCGAGATCCGGCTGGACAGGTCCTGCAGGTGCTTCTTCACCTGGAGAGACAGGCAGCGGCCCGCACCCAAGCCCCGGCCACACGGGGTCACTGCTTGGCTCTGCCACCTTGCAGCTCTCCACCACCCAGACACCGTCACAAATCAGTCACTGACACAGCGCAGCGGTGGCCGGGCCGCTGCCAGAGCGTGAGGAACCGCTCGCCAAGGCCCGTCGTGGTCCTGCCACCAGCCCGGCACTGCCGGCAGCTCCTGCCTACTCCTCCCGGCCCCCAGGCTCCCACGGGCCCCCCGAGTCTGTACACGCGCACTTCCTGGCCCCATGCACCCTTTCCCGCCAGGTGAAGCTGTGCTCCCACTCGCTCACATCCCGTCCGCCTGTGCCAGGCGAACCCCGCCGCGCAACTCCCCGTCTCGGTGCCCGTTTTAAAGCCCCTGCGAGGGCACCGTGGTCCTCAGCTTCGCCCACACACTCAGCCAAAGGCAGGCGCATCTGCACCACCATGCGCTCTCGCAGGGCCTCGTCCTGCAGCTTCAAGGCTGGAGAGGCCACTCCTCTACCCAGCCCCCCAAGTGCATCCTGTGTCCTCTCCACCAAACCCACACCGAAGGCTCTTCGGATAAAGGCCCCACACCTCCTGGCACTGGGATGGTGCCCATCCCTCACGCCCTAACCAAAGGCCCCACGGGAGGGCGGCGTGGCCCCCGCAGGGCACAAGGCGGCAGCTGGCCCAGGGCCGCCTGCTCCAGCCTTGGACAGGTCCCCGCTCCTTCAGCGGCCCATTGTGGTCCCCCCCACGGCAAGCACAGGGCAGACCCTCAAGACACAGCAGCCTGCGTGCGCTCTGGAGACCTGAGACCACCCCAGGCAGCTCGCTCTGCAGCAGAGGACCTTCAGAACCACTGACCGGTCACCCAATTTCCGGGCCAGGATTTCCGGCTCTGGCCCTGGCCCCACCCCCCATCCCCCCAAGGCAACCAGTGCAGCAACCACACAGGGGCAAGGCTGTGTCTGAGGCCCCACCCTCCACAAGGGATACCGAGGCGCAGACCGGGAAGCCAGGTGCACACCGGGCCAGGGGCAGGGCGCCCACCTTGTAGCCCAGCTCCTTGGTCTTCTCCTCCAGCAGGGTGTAGCGCTCCCTGTTCCGGCTGACGTGCTCCGGGTCGCCGAGCCGCTCCACATGCTTCAGCTTCTGGTGCGAGATCTCCAGCTGCTTCTGGTAATGGCTGTGCTTCTCCACTTTCACTTCAAAGTGTTTCAGCTCCTCCTGGGAGGGCGTTTCAAGCAACTGGATTCCCAACGAGCTCCTGATACCCAGAGCCCCCCCCGGCCCTGCAGGCCTTGGACCGGACCGGAGGGAGGGATGCGCAGGGCAGGGAGAAGGCCCCGTGAGGTGCTGACCGCTGGGGGAGGAAAGGAAGCGACGGCACCTCCCGCGGCAGCAGAAACTCCCACCAGGCAGACGCCTCGGGGCCCGTCCTCACCCGAAGAGCCTCCAGCTCCTCCTCTGTGAAGTTGGCGGCGCGGGCCAGGTCCCACAGGTCCAGCACCCGGGGCTCCTCGAACTCTGGCAAAGAGCAGGGTGGCCTCAGACTGGCGCACCCTCCAGTGGGCCCCTGGCCATGCCCCCCGCCTGGCCCCAGAGCTGTGTGTGAGCATACACAGACACACGGGTGTGTCCACACCCACGTGTCCGGCAGCGCCCTTGGGAAGCACAGGGGCATTCTCTCTCTGGGCGCTCAGTCTGCAGCTCACAGGACCTGCTGGAGGGCGGGGCTCCCGGAACACACCCCCCCAGGCCACCTGCAGCTGGGTCCCGGGTGAGCAGCGGGCTCAGAACTTGAGAAGAAAGTGCTGGTGCAAATGAGCCACCACGTGCGGAGCTGTGACCAGGGCGACCAGCTGTCCCCACAGAAGGGAGGGCCAAGGGAGCGTGGTGACTGTGAGGGGCGCGCAGAGGCCGAGCCGTGTGACCTTCGGAGAGCAGGGCCAGAGCGCAGCCCAGTGCGCCCACGCTCACCGGCCTCGGAGCTGTAGCCCTGGTGGCTGACCCTCCGCAGGCGGTCGTAGCCTTGGCTGATGCCCCGCAGCCGGTCTTTGAGCTCCGCGTGTCTGCTGTGCAGCACAGCCTCCTCCTGCACGCGGCTCATGTCGGACGGGCTGATGGCGTTCTCCCGGATCTCTGCAGGGCACGAGGGGCGCCTGGTGAGGGCCTGGGGCCGCCTGCCACCAAGCTGGCCCCGCATCACCGGGGGTTACACATCCTCTCGTTTCTGGCTGGAGTGTCTCTCCTTCCACAGGCTCCAAAGTCGCTCAACAGTCCCTCTCCCAGTCCCTTCCTTTGAAAGGGGCAGACCAGAGAACCCCCGCTCCCAGACAGCCCTTTTCAGGACACCGGTGCACCAAGAGCCCGAGGCCGCCCCGCTGTGCCCACCCCAGCCCTCCCAGATGCCCGCTGGCTTTCTGAGGGTCAGAGCCCATAATTGGGGGGGGGCGTCCTGAGATTAAACAGCGGTGCCCGGGTTGAGCCAAGTCCTGATGCAGCACCCTGACTGACCAACATGCCCCACGCCGGCCCAAGACACCCTGAAGGGTGGGGATCCCTCGTGGCATGATCCCCCCCAGAAAAAGGGGCATCCCTGCCCACAGCCCCCTCTCGAGCCAGAGACGCCCACGGGGCAGGTGGGCGGGGGGCACCTTCCATTCTGCTCAGGGTCTCCAGCAGGACACTGTACTCCCGGACTTTCTCTCGGTGGTGCTGGAGCTCCCGCCAGAGCTTGTCCAGCTCTTCCCTGGAGAACTTTCCAGAGGTCTGTGCCTGCGAGGAGAGCGGCCAAGTGAACCCGCTGCGGGCCAGGCTCCCCTGTCCACACCTTGGGCGCCCCCACCGTGAGCTGCAGGGCAATGTGGGTTAATGCAGGTCCCAGGCTCAGCCTGGAGACTACAAGGAGCCCCTGCCCCACAGGCCCACCCTCCCTCTCCTTTGCCCCCGAAACTGAGGACGATGGGCTACTGTGAGAGTTTCAACTCCTGCCCCTCGCCACGTGGCCTGGACAGAGTACCCCGGACGGGAGCCGGCGGACGGCGGGCACAAGGGGAGTGCCCGCCACCGCCCGGCTCTGCGGCCCCAGAGGCGGCGTGCGCTGTGCTGCTAGGGGAGGTGCCTCTCAGAGCCTCGGGCCGTGCAGGCCCCTGCGCCCCAGGAGCAGACGCAGATGCAGCCGCGCCCGCGGTGCGAGGGTGGTCAGCACTTCTCCTGCTCCGTGCCTCATGGCTCCTGGCCGGCTGGGCCAGCTCCAGACAGGCCAGAGTGGAGAAGGGGCCCCCAGTTCTCGATGCGAGGGCACGGATTTCGGGGTCCGCAAGAAGCACCGAGGTACCTTGTGCCACAGTTTCTCCAGCCGGGGGTCCTCCAGGCTGTCCTGCTCGGTCCCGTCGCGGAGGGAGTTGCTGCCGAGCCCCCGGGCGTCCTTCCTGCCGTCCAGGCCGTACTTGGCCAGGATGACTGGGGGAGAGGAGCTGGCAGTCAAGGCGGGGCCGGGGCCGCCGGCCAGGTCTGCCCCACTTCCTGCAGGTTCCCTCCTCTCACCCTCGTTTCTCATGATGCTCGGGACCCGGCGGAAGGAAACGAGCCCTGGGACCGCTCACCCGAGGACGGCAGCTCAGAGTGTCGCCCCCCCCCCACCCCGCCGACAACAGTGCCCGCCAGCAGGCCCGGCCGGGACGGGGGTCGTCCCAGGGGGGGTCGTGCAGAGACATTTCTCACAGGTTCTCAAAACCAAACTCCTCAGCCCAAGTCTAGTGAGGGCGGAGGGACAGAGCTCTGGGTGGCAGGTGTGGCTGGGGCCTTCTCGTAACCAGCCCACCCCTTGTGGGACAGAGATTTTCTAAAGGAGAAACTCCGCTGTCAGCAACTTCCAACCAAAGTCCGAGAGACTGGGAGGGGACACGGGCCACAGCCTGCCACTTCCCAGTCAACGTGGGGACACGCCTGGTGCCACTTTTTGGCTGTGCAGGGTGCAGCGCCTGCTATGGTCCCCAGCAGCACAGGGGGCAGGCGCCCGGAACTCGGGGCCCACTTCCAGGGCCCCCCCGGGCGGCAGAGCCCAGCACCCAGGACTTTGCTAGGGCTGCTCCAAGCCCCCAGTCCTGTCCCCCAAGAAACTAGCATGGGGCTCCCCTCACTCTGTGCCCCATTCCCGCCACCTGGCCCCGGCGCCCCCCGTGGATGGACACCTGCCAGACACAGCCGGCTCTGCCGGGGGCCCCAGAACACACGCCCTGCACACCAGCTCCTCTGTGGGCAGGCGCACTCTCCCTCAGGGAGGCCCCCCCTCGGTCTACACCTCCTGTGCCTGGGAGCTCGCTGCAGGCCCAGAGAGTGACTGCGACAAGTGTGTGTTTCCATACTTGCTGGTGACCGTGGGGGCTTCCCAGGTGTCAGATGCCCATCCAGCCCTCTCCCTGAACTGCAGGAGCCTCCACCAAGCCACTGAGAGCGGTCCCTGGACAGGCCCCCACCTGTGCAGGTGGCACAGGGAGACACACCCACCAACTCCTCAGACCATGCCCCTGAGGTCTCACTTCACCAGTGTGACTGACACCTGAAAAACCAGGGAGTAGGCTGCCAGGAAGGACGGCCCCTCTGGGTGGCAGCGGGCCCCGCCCATAGACCAAGCCCGCCGACGGAGCCCGAGGACCGCTCCTGTCAGATCAAGTGGAAACTGGACGTACCGTTGAGGTTTTGTATCAGCTTTGCTTCTTTCTCCCCATCTTCATCCAAGCCCTCAGCCTTCAGCTTCTTCCAGGCGAATTCATCCCTTTCTTGTATCTTCAGATCAGCGTGGAGCTCGGACAGTTCCACGGGAGACAACTGCAGCTGTGGGACACAGGCAGGGGACATGTGACAACTGGCCGAGTGACAGAACAGCGACACTAGCCAGGAGAAGCTCACCCCAGAGACAGGGTGGCCGGAGACCCCAGCAGCCCAGCAGGACACGGAGTCAGAGCCCAGCCCTTCAGAGCCCCACACAGTTCCAGCAGGACAAGCAGGAGGGACCCCGGCCCCGCCGGGCGGGACCACCAGCCTGGCCTGGACCAGCGGCAGCACCGAGCATCCCCGGGGAGCCACGTGCTTCCCATGGCTTGGGCCTGTGGGCCCAGGAGGGGAAGGTAACAGGACACCCCACCGTCCCACCCAGGAACCTGGGGACAGTCATGGGGCACCTGGGCCGACAGAGAGGGAGGGCGTAGGGGCAGCACGTTGGGGCTTGGTGAGGAAACCCGCTCTCGCACTGTGAAACCATGACCATCGTCAAAGAAGAGAGAAGACTGAATTTATGAGAAACGTCTTAAGAATAAAAAGAGCTGCCATGGCTCACTGGCTGGGAAGCTTTCCGAGAGAGCAGGCACCAGCTGGGAAGGGGCTGGACGGCCCCCCCAGTTCCCGAGAGCCGCACCCCTGCCTGGCCCTGAGGCCCCCGCCTGGTTTGAGGCTGCACCCTCTCCCCCAGCAGAAAAAACACATGGCGTTTCTCACCCAGTCCAGGGAGCTGGCGGCTTTAAGTGTCGTCTAGTTCACACGCCTGACTGACACCATCCTCTGGCACTTTCTAAGGACCCCCAATGACAGACCCAGGGCAGGGCAGCTCCCAGGGCCAGCCTGGGCTGGAGGCACGAGCCCCCCTGCTGACGAGAAACCACCGTGTTGGCTGCACACTGGGCCTCCCACCACAGAGGGCAAAGCGGGGCACCACGCCCACGGCCTCCAGCGCCAGAGGTCACTGGGAGTGGGGGCCGAGTGTGCGGTTCTGGCACAGTGGAGATGAAGAATGCAGGCTCCGAAGGGTCCTTCACAAGGAAAGCAGTGTAGCCTCCGACTTCCTGTCTCCACCTCCCACTGGCCCCTAGTCTGATGCCTGCTCTGTCTCAGCTTCTCACAAGGACCTGGACCCTCCAACTGCCGCCCTGCCGTGCCAGCGGGCTGGGCTGCTCCCTGGAGCTAGGGAACGTGTGCACTAGGTGGCCCCAGGAGGACCGGCAGGGAAGGGCCCCTGGACCGGGCACCAGAGCCTCGGACCCCAGGGGGTGGGTCATGGGAACCTACGTTCTGGTTGTGCTAGTTCTGAGCACAGAAGAAAACAGTTGTGACTTCTGAGTCTGAGCAGAAGTGTGAAACCCGACCCCCCCCATTTTCTGTCCTCCTGTTCTCACTCCCATCCTGAAAATCCTTACCCCCCAGTTACAGGAAATGCTCAAGTTATAGCATGGCACCCACCGATGCAGATGGCGCTAACTGAAAGCAAGAAGGCACCTAAATGTTTATAAAAAACCCGCTAGAAGAAAAACCTGCTTTGGGATTCTCTAGTTTAATGGCTGACTTCTAAATTCACACTGAAGTGCCCCCACACCAGAGAAGCGGGTCCGAACGCCACTTGGAGGTGCGTTGCAGCTGCGCCCGGGGCAAGCCGGGAGCCTGGCCATTTGGGAAGCGGTCCTGCTCAGACGTGCACCACGGACAGCCAGACCAAAGCTGGGGAAACGGTACCGGGTCGCTGGGCGTGGGAGGGCTGCGCACAGCCCCACCTGGTGACATCAACACGCTAAACGCTCTGCGAGGTCCGGCAGCAAAGGAACCTACAGCAGAGTGACTGCAGAGCTGTCACCAGCGCCGAGGACCCACAATTCTCAAGCAAGTCCCCAGGTAGAGGGTGGCTATGGAGCCGGCACCTGTGTGGCTCAGGGAGGGACCGCCAGCCCCCACCCCTCAGAGCCCTGCTCCAGGTCCTGTGGGAACACCTGGCACCCCATTCTGGATTCTTTCAGTATCTCTTTAAATCACAGTTACCCGTCAAGGCCTCCTGTGAAAAGAACTAGTTAGTAGAAGCCAAATGTACAGCAGGACATGTCCCAATATTCAAAGTGGATCAAAGTGGAGTTTATCACTAGTGAGTGCCAGACCAGCACTACGTGGGAATATATCTGTGGCATACATGGCGGCGGCGATACAAGTGAATATACTCCATTTCAAACTCCTCCGGATGTGTGCATTAAATACGCAACAAAGCAGTTTAAAAAACTCCTAGGAACTGGCCAGGGCTCCGGTCTCCGGCTGAGCCACGGTATACAGAGTAGTCCCTGGAGGCCTGGCAGTGCGCAGCCTCAGCGAGGCACTGACCCCTGGTGGGGCTTGAGACCCCCCAGGCGCTCAGGGGAGGTGCTATCAGGACGACCACGCCCCGCCTACCACTAGGTATGCAGGTGCAATCCATCCCTGGCCCGCCTTTCAGGGTCCCTCCCGGTGCCCCAGGGAAGGGGACAGGCCACAGGCGGCACACCGGGACACAGGAGCGGTCACACACAGCCTCCCTCCTCGTCTGGGCCCCCGCCTAGGAGCACAAGCGCTTCAACAGTTTGAATCACCAAGTGAGGACAAGAGCCTTCGACAGCAGCTCCCAGAACCTTGATCCCGGGCGCTCTGCCACCTCAACAGCACGTGACCCTGACCCCGTGACCCTGCATGCGGGATCCGCGGTCTCGCAACACCCCGAAGGCGTCCAGGCCCCATGGGCGCTCGTATGCAACAAAGAGGGACTGCAGAACTTCATCGGGAGTCAAGACGGAAATGCTGGGGCAGGGGGAGGCCACACACGCAGCTCCGAGAGAACCCCAGCCCCACCTGGCCGGCAGCGTCCCCCCCGCCCTGCCGCTCACCCGCTGGGCCTTCCCCCACAGCTGGTTCAACTTCTCCATGCGAAACTCGCCCCCGGGCTCGCGCTTCGGGGGCCGCTCGGGCTCGTTCTGCTCACGCGAATACTTGCCGCCGTGGCCCGCCACCTGCCAGGGCCCGAGCACCAACAGAAGTGGGAGCAGCAGCAGCGCCAGGAACCACGGACGACGTCCCACTATCTGCAACGCCATCTTCCTTCTCTAACCTCGGAGACCCCGCACTCAGGTCAAGAGATCCCGCCAGGCCCCGCCCCTCCTCTTCCCCGCCGCGCTGCCTCTTGGGAGTTGTAGTTCTCTCACACGCCATTGGCCCAGACGAGGCCGAAGACAGACTACGAGGCCCGGAAAGCCCCGCGGAGGTACTTGGGAGTTTCCTAGGCAACCACGCCGCGGCCTCGTGACGTCATGCGCCCGAGGCGGCCGATTGCGTTAGAGCTTCCAAAATAGATTTCAGAGTTGCCAGGGTTGGGGCAGGGAGGGGTTAGGTCAGCCCAGACGCTGGAAACCGGTGACCGCGGGGCCCCTCCTCTCCACTTCGTAGAAATTGTAATTCGGAAGTGGGACTGTGTCTTTCTGTGCCTGAGACTGTTCCTGCACCATCTGATGTTGAATCTTCATCATTGTAGGCTTGGGGGAGGTGGCCCCTGCTTGGCACTCAGGAGTTTACATCGCTGCTGCCAGGCACCTAGGAGCCACCCAGCCCATTCCTTCACTTGACAGAGGAAGAAAATGGAAGGCCCGCCCTGGCCTGGTGCTCAATGGGTTGGAGCGTCGTCTGATGCACAAAACGGCTGAGGGTTCAATCCCTGGTCAGGGCTTATGCCTAGGTTCCATTCTGGCTTGGGGCAGGTATGGGAAGCAACAAATCAATGTTTTTCTCTCACACCAATGTTTCTCTCTCAAAAAAAATCCGTAAGCATATCCTTGGACAAAGATTAAAAAAATAGTTAACAAAATATTAGCAAATCAAGCCCAGCACTTATATGTATGAGGGGGGATCCTACAAACTGGAATTATCTTCTGGAGCTTGGGCCCCTTGCAGTACAGGCTTCCCTTGCTAGATGAGTGCTCTGGGAGCCCACCTGTGTCAGTGTACTAGCTGGTGTTGTTGTGAGAGGCTGCATTCTGCTTCGGTTAATTTTTTTTGAAGACTTTCAATGTGTTTGTCCATTTCATGATGGGGGATTTACGAGCACACCTGCCCACACTGCTGAGTATTCATCAATTTTTGACCCAAAATGACATGACCCCCATGCCCCTGCCCTCCCTATTCACCCAATCTCACCTTGCGCAACATTTTTGTATTTCCCCCAGATGAAAAATGTTGTCTAAGGGAAATGTTTTGCTGATGTGGAAGAAGTGAAACGGAAAACAGAAGCACTAAAAGACATCAACATCGACACGATCAAAAACTTTTGAGCAGTGGGAAAAATGTCTCAATAGGTGCATTGACTCAAATGGAGAACACTTTGGAGAAGTTTAAACGTGTGAGAATAAATATACAATTTTTTAATAAGTAAATTTCGGTTTCTCTGGGGTCCCCCCTCATAAATATATATCAACTTTGGCTTCATAGTTGATGATGACTCAGTGTCTGTCTCTTCAGTAGCAGAATAAAGGAGAACACAACTCGCAGTGGTCTTGGCAGTGTAGCTGCAGCACTTGGCAAGTCCGACCCCTGTGGGTGATACTGGCACACAGCCAACGAGCAGTGGAGGGCACTTTCCCAGCTGGGTGATGGGCTTCCACACGCAATGCACAACTCACAGCAGGCGCCAGGCGAAAGGCCAGGCACCTTCACGCTGAAATGAAGGAGCCTGCTAGGAGGCTCGGGTGCCATCACTGACGCTCAGCACACTGCTTTGCGCCCACTGGGACAGCCAGAATGAAATAGATCCACTCTGTCAAGTGTTGGAAAGATGTGAAGCAACCAAGACTCTCTGACATTTCTGGTGGGAGTTGGAAGTGGTCAACCACTTTGCTAAACTCTTTGTCAGTTTCTCATAAAATTAAACGCCTACTTCTTCCGGCCAAGATGGAGGCATAGGTGGAAACATTGCGCCTTCTTGCACAACCAAGTTTAAAGACAACAAAGTTTGAGTAATAAAAATGCCACCAAAACACAGAAAATTGACCTGTATGGAAGTCCAACAACAATGAACCATTCAGCCAGACATGTAAGAGGGGCGGAGTCAGTGGCTGGCAGAGCAGGGTCGCGCAGGAAAAATGGGCGGGATGACCTAGGAGCGCAGGCAGCGGTTGGCAGATCCCAGGCGGTGGGGTGGCAACAGGCAGACCCAGTGAGGGCACAAGGCAGCTGTCTGACCGCGGTCACACATTCGCACACAGATAAACCAGGCGAAGGAGCGAGCAGTGAGACAGACCACGAAGGCTACAGCCCCAGTGACGGGAATTAAAAACTAAAAGAACCAACTGGGAAAACTTTCAGGGTTGAGGTGCTGGGAGAAGCTTCCAGGCTCACAGAGATTGGAGAGACCCACAGGGTCCTGGAGGGTGCACAGGCCCACGCACTCGGGAGCCGGTACCAGGAGGGCCAGGTTTGTTTGCGGGAAGCAGCAAGAGAGAGAGTATGGAACAAGCGCCATTGCCCCTCTCTTATCCCGCCCCCACATACAGTATCACAACCCAGTGACTGGGTCGCCCCGCCCTGGTGAACACCTAAGGCTCCACCCCTCATATGTAACAGGTGCGAACAGACCAAAACATTATGGCTCAAGAACAGCTCAAAGCCCCAGAGCCAATACTTCTAAGCGACCAAGAAATAGCCAACCTATCAGATGCACAGTTTAAAACACTGGTGATCAGGATGCTCACAGAATTGGTTGATTTTAGTCACAAATTAGAGGAACAAATAAAGGCTAAACTAATTGAAATGAAGGGAAATGCACAGGAAACCAATAGTAATGGAAAGGAAACTGGGACTCAAATCAAGGGAATGGACCAGAAGGAAGAAAAAAGTGACCAAACAGAAAAAATATGAAGAAATAAGAATTCAAAAAAATGAGGAGAGGCTTAGGAACCTCCAGGACATCGTTAAACGTTCCAACATCTGAATTATAGGGGTACCAGAAGGGGAAGAGGAAGAGCAACAAGTGGAAAACTTATTTGAACAAATAAAGGAGAACTTCCCCAATCTGGCAAAGGCAATAGACTTCCAGGAAATTCAGGAAGCTCAGAGAGTCTCAAAGAAGTCGGACCCAAGAAGGAACACACCAAGGCACATCATTATTACATTAGCCAAGATTCAAATGAAAGAGGGAAGACTAGAAGCAGCAGGAGATAAGGGGACAGTCACCTACAAAGGAGTTCCCATCAGACTGTCAGCAGATTTCTCAAGAGACCTTACAGAGACCTTTGGGCTCTCATCACCTCCGCTGCGTCCCCTCCTCTTCCCGAACAGCAAAGAAGTTTCTTCAGGAACAGAAATTGGGCCTTGCTGGACGCCGTCTCTGCGCCTGCTGATGGGGTCACACTTGTTCCGGTTTTCAACGTGCGACCATGTGAGCGTCCCTAGGGCGCAGGACAGCGCCTGCGGCGGGGGCGGTGAGCAAGGGCCCCAGGCTCACCCTCCCCACCAGCCCCCTCCGGGCAACTCCGTCCTGCGTCTTCTTAGGCTGTGTCTGTCCACTCGGCCTCCTGCGGTCCTAAGGCCACGCTGATGGCCCACGTTGTCACATCTCCCCGGCCGTCCAGAGCCCACAGTCTGTGCCACCTGTCACACACCACGCCAGACCACGAGGGTCAGCCCCTGGGCCCCAGAGCCCGCAGGAATTGTTCCCACTGGCCAGTCCGAAGCGGTCTCCCCAACCTGCCGCCTTCAGCATCGTGACCCAGCGGTGCAGGGCCAGGAGGGACGTGGGAGGCGACCTCTGTGGCTGACCCAGCAGGCCGGCGGGTGGTGTGGGGGCCCTTGACTATGTGCAGGACAGATTTGCAATGTGAGTCTGGGGGATTTTGAGAGCACGCTCATGACAGCTGGCGACGGTGACACTGAGGAGAGGCAGCAGGAGAGAGCCCAGTGGGGCGGCCGGGCTCCCAGAACCGTTATGGGAAAAGAACAAGCTTAGCCAGGGATGCTGGCCTCTCACCGGACAGTCAGGGGCAAAGGGGCCCTGGGGGCAGCTTCCGGGGTGAGCCTGGGACAAGCTGCTACTGCCCGCTGATCCCCTGGCCGCAAGTGTCCTGGGGACCCCTAGAGTTTAGGGGGCCCTGCAAGCCTGTGGGGGAGGGGGAAGGGGAGGAAAGGGAGAGGGAGAGCGAGAGCCAGGCCCTTCTTCTTGAGGGCTTTCTTTTGGGGGTTTATTTATCAATTGTTAGAAAGAGAGGGAGAGAAACACCCACCAGCTGCCTCTCCCAGGAGCCCCAGCTGGAGGCTGACCTTGAAACCCAGGCATCGAACAGGGGACGCCTGGCTTTGGGGCAGAGCCGACGCCCAACCCACGGAGCCACCCTGCTCAGGGCCCTGGTCGGGGGTTAGAGGCTGGGAGTTCAGGGGAGTCTTCCAGGAGCAGCTCAGTAGGACGTTCATCAGCTTCCTGCCGATGGCACTGACCCCGTTCCTGCTGCCTCTCTCCTGAGTGGGCGACTTACGCTCGGGCTGGGGGGCAGCGGGGCAAACCCTTCCCTCCTACGTGTCCACCAGCCGGCTGTGGACTGCTGGGCCCTTCCCGGTCTCGGCACCCCCTTGTCCTGTTGCCCTCGCTGTCTCCGGGACAGGGCCCACAGGCGAGCCGGCCGACGCCCGACAGGTTTGGTAGGAACTCTGCTTGCCTGTCCTCATCGTGTTCGGTTGGACCGAGAACCGAGATGTGGGATGCAGAGAGGTGGCGACGGTGTCCTCACCGCTCAGGGTGGATTCAGGGTGGGGCACAATCCCACCACAGATGGGCTGAGTCACGACAGAGCCTTCCCTCCAGGGGTGGGACCTGCGGGCCCCCTATGAGCTGCAACCCCAGCCCCTCGGGGCCTAGGGCAGCAAGGCGCCCACCCACCACCTGCTGCTTCAGGAGGGGTGCTGCCATACTTGGGTGGTCTGCCCTTTGCCCAAGTGGCCACTGAAGGCCGCCCAGGACCCTCCATGCACAAGGCCTCCGAGCCCAGGCCCTAGCCAGGCCCTCAGGACGCTCGCACCTCTGCTGCTCGGCCCGCAGTTCTCTCCCTGTGGGTGATGCTCCCTCTGCCTGCAGCGCTCCCCCCACAGCTCCCTGACTGACGGGCA